AGGTGGTAGACCGTTAAGTCACTGGGACTCGATCCAGTTACCAACTAATGAATTCCAACTTCTGCCAATTCACGACATAGCGCGACCACTAGCCAATGTCTTCACTGGCGAGTATTTGTCCTCACACCTGACGTGCTGCACCCTACTGGTCACGACTTTCTACTAGAACCCCAGGCAACTGTCTACCTGTATAGGGTCAGTCGCTTGTGAGCATCTCATTGATATTCAAATATTAGTTTGCAGGGATTTGACTGATTGATTACAGGATTTATGGGCCATTGGATCGATCCCAGTGACTTAACGGTCTACCACCTCGCTGGCCTTGTAACCAGAAGGTCCTGGATTTGAACCTCGTTGACGGTGGGTGCGTACTGCTGAAGAGCCAGTCCCAAACCAGGCTGACGAAACAGCTGTCCATTACTCCAGTACTGCAGGTTTTCTAATGGTTCTCTGGCTGATGTCAGCTCATGATGAAATCCTGTAACCAATCAATCAAATCCCTACAAACCAGTACTTGAATAGGAAGTCTGGATTCTTAGAGTTTATGATACTTCGCTACGGAAAGGTTTTATTGAAATAATTCCCAATAGAAATTCCAGAGTAGCAGTTCCCATTATCCATCACCTGCTAACGCCAGTAACGACTATTCATATCGACGAGTTGAAGGGATATAGCCGATTGTCATCTTGAGGTTATATTCACCATCATGTTGACCACTCCTCGAATTTCGTGGATCCAAGTGCAGGCACACATCCTAACTCTATAGAAGGATTTTGGTTAAGGTTGAAGAAGAGATCCAGAAATATTAATGGATCTCAGAGTATCATTATGTTCAGCCACCTGGATGAACATATGTATCAAGTGTGACTGCTTGGAATATGCAACACTTCACTACGCAAAGGTTTTGCAGAATCAGTGCCCAATAAAGGGTATTTCCTATCATCTACTTGTTATCGAATAAATTACCAAACGTTTGTGTGGCATATTCTACTGACAAGATTTATTAGCAGTATTATATGAAGAGACGTTCATCAGCATGAAAATTTTAAATGATAGAAGGATACACTTGAAGTCAAAGAGAGGAAATGATGAACCAGTGTATTTCAGCAAAACATGGGAGACACAACAAGAAGACAAAGAAACACAATACATAAAGGGAGAAGTCGTTCAACATGGAAGATCTTTGTAAATGATGAGATGATATAATGTATACATAATCTCCTAATATGTGAGTATCAGATGTTAAATAAACATCCAGTTATCAAGTCTATCGTCTTCTCCCGTTACACTTCTAAATTACCAATCACTCAAAACAGCAGGGGCCATTACAATTCGCCAAGATAAATTGCAGCTCTGAATGCAGAAGAAGCAGGTCCAGCCACTATTCGTACTTTGGACTGGATTCGTCTCTGTAAATTCATAAATATTGTGTATTATTTTTCTTAATTTATCTGGTGTTCAGCTAAATGTGTTACGCTGATTCATATTATCATTTACAGATGTTTTTGAACCCTAATTTGTCGATATTATTGATTCGATATTACCTTGAAAACAGTATTGTCAGCAAATAATTAAAACAGACGGAAACTGAAATGTGTTCAGTGTTTCAACATGTTTTTTTGTTTTCCATTCAAACAATTAAAAAGTGATCAGCAGTTCCCACGAAAAAGTAGATGAAAATATTTCTGAATTACGGGATAATAATCTACTTTTTCAAGACTAATCACGAAACGATCTCAGTTAGAGATCGGTTGATTGAAAAGCAACAGGAAGTATTGGCTAAATGTTTCATCCTTGTCTAGAACTCTACGTCAGTATGCACCCGTGACCCAACCAAAGATCAGATGCAGGACTGTTAGGCTACAAGACAAAAGTTAGAAAGGATGAACTGTTGGATTGCTTTCCAATGGCTCCATCTTCAGCTAGCTTACCTTGTAACCTGAAGAAGGTCCTGAGTTAGGTCCCTATTGGGGTGATGACTGCTTACTGATGAAGAGCCCCAAGCTTAAGAGAAACGGTTGTCCGGTGTTTCCTGTTGGTTTTCAATGATTCTCTTACTGGAGTAATTTCTTACGTAATCTTAAAATCAATCAAATCCCTGCAACTCAAAGTCTACCCTTCATGATATTTCTTATGAATCAATAATTTCAGACTAGAATTCGTCCATCTGAAACTCTGAAATGAATGAATAAACAGACGCACGGGGAAGTTACATTATCTTAGTCAAAATTACAGGGACCTTGAATAACCAATAGGAATTAGGATGAAAAAACAAGTTGCAGAATCAATAAAAATATCGATTAAAATTGGATAGAAATGTCTTCCAGTTTCTGCAAGGATAATCTGCACAGAAGTCGTATTATTATTATTATTCCCTTTGCGTTCCGAGTGAAACATAGGGTTTCAATAACACATCTCCACTTTGTTCTGTTTTCTGCTGTCCTCTTCAGCTTGGTTCACCACTGACCAAACTCTCTCATCTCCTCTTCCAACTCACAAGATCTCCTCCATGTCACACTCGCACCGATGACCCACTTGTCGCTTCCAATTGGGATTCCACTCAAACGTTGGCCTGGCGTGTGATGTCATTCGGTGGCCTCCTCCCAGCAAGAGTTTCTTGTTACTAATACTTTCTGTCCATTTGATCTTGAGTATGGAGCCAGCCAGTGAAGTTGGCAGCTTTTGATGATAGTCTGCAACAGTCTGTTGGAAATCCTTTTCGTGACACGCAGTGGGAGTTTCTGACCCGTATAGGAGGACTGACCGACTTTACACTTGTGTTGAAAATACGTATCTCATTCCTTTCGCTGAGTACAGTGCAGAATATTTCCAATTTGGTTACAGGCTGATGAGGGTGTATCTTGACTTAACGATTCTGACTTTGACATTTTCATCCGTCCCAATGGCCTGTGGTTGAAACTGTGCTCCCTGGCCAGATAAGTGAAGGATATAACCTCTGTTAAATCTCACCGGTTGATGGCGACTGGTGCTGGTTGTTGTTACTGTTGATTGGTTATCTTCATCACCTCCATCTTCTCTGTGTTCACCTGGAGTCCTGTTTTCTGTGGTGGCTTCTTCAGCCAGTCTGTTAGTTTTCGCCTGCAATATATTTTCCAATTATTCTGGACATATAATTGTAGAACCTAATGACGAAGAAGTTATCTATAAAGAATATTACTGTTGTGTTCATTAATCTCAGTGTTTTAAAGTTTATAAGAGTTGAGTTTTTCTAATTACCTGTCGTCTGAATGCCACCTACACACATTGTAGTGAAAATTTAAACTCCCAGTGTCTTCGAGGAATGTTTAAATGTCGTTGAATACGCCAATGAAGACGTCAAAAACTGTCACGTAAATGTTTATTAGGAATAATGCATCAATAAACTCTGGAATTTTTATAATCTAAAAAGATTTCCGTGTTTTGATTAAGTTAGAGGCATCCTCTTGGTACTTTTTCTAAAAAAACATACATTTAGAAGAATTTACGTTAGTATACACTTCTTCATCTGATTGTGATCGCATGCAAATCCTTCTGCTACTGCTTGATAGCGTATCCTACTGATTACTTTGAAATGAGTAGGGGGACACTGCTAATATCAATCGGTAGTGCTTACTGGTCAGAGTATGTATTAGCCATACTCTGAGGAAACCATCAAGTGACATCACTTGACAAGCCATTGCTCGAGTGGAACCCGAAAGAGAAGCAGCGAGTTGGTCATCAGTGCAAGGGTGACTTTTTGAGGAGGTCATGTGAAGAGGAGATGAAAGCATGTAGGCAGACTTGGAGCCAGGTGAAAACTTTGGCAGAGAACCGAACGCAATGGAGACGTGCGGCTGAAGCCCTATGTTCCTCTAGGAATTATAGCAAACAATAATAATAAGCGCCGGTTAACTGTTGTACCCATTTGTGTCCGATCTCATCACCAGTGCACTTGGTTATAATTACGTAAGACAGTGGAATCGTCTTCCTCAAGTGATAGTGTTGGATTTTCACCTCAGCTTATGTCATTTGAAAATTACAGATGCGATTAGCAGGAGACTGTATCTGCACGCAGACTCATAGGTGCGACGTTAGAACTAGTCGATAGGTTTGAAGGATGTGATCTCTCACAGTGTAGTTATGATGTTTTACCCGGTCCATCAAAGATTCGGTTTCCATTGCTTCAATGCGCTCAGAATTTCTGTACTCCAGTGAAATCCAGTCTCTCCGAGCAGAAGTGTGTGCTAGGTTATCTCGGTTCCCGTAGAACTGCATGCCTACGATCGAATAATCACATACAAGATCTGAAGGCACAGATATGTGTACCAGGAATGACATCCTAGTGACTTCTACAATATCCTCTAGATAGTAAAAGTTGAAGAGTGATCAGTTAATGAGATTATTCAAAGTAATGATAGATAGTTGTGCTAGTTTGGCATCTCTTGGCCCAGCATGACTATCTGAATGGTTTCTATGAGACAATCAGAATCAGTGAGTGGAAATATTATCAGATATGACTGGGAATACTTATGAGTGACGAATGTGCTCCATAAAAGTTCTCCGTAAGTATAAGTGCCTGTTCTTCATGATTCTGTCCCTGAATTACTTCAATGTTTACGTCCCAAATCTTGGTCATGAGAAAAAGACAAAAACAAAGCTTAACCTTGAGGAACTCAACAACCAATCACAGCAGACTTAGCGTGGGTGGATACGATTCGCAGATCTATGGTCTGACCTTCAAAGAAATGGTCACAAAGAGATGACAGATTAACTTTCAGCGAGAAAACAGCCAATCAGAAGACGCTATTTCTCTGCTTACAATAACCTATAATAATGTACATAAAAATCTATAAATATCTGTTGCCTGGCCCTTGTCATCTGTCGTTACATATTGTGTTTTAGTGTTTTTGTGTACAGTATCTCTGGCGCTCCCTTTCTATACGACGTTTGTCTTTAAATAATTAAATAAGGAAGAATTATCAATTTATTTAAAAAATAAAATTACAAATAACAAACAATTACTCAACTTTCATATTTTAAAAAAATAATTCAAAGTCATCTTTCCCGCCAATAGAAATTCAATGTTTCATTATTTGTACTTTATTCACTTCATTTATATAAACAAAAAAAAATATCAAAGAGAGGATAACAATAGAATCAAATAAGAATTATCCATTGAATATTGAATGAAAAGGTGTACAGTTATGTGTATACATTGTGTGTTTTTTTTTTTGAAGAAAAAAAGCAAAAATTATATCTTCAATGATCACATTCGTTTTTATATTGATTGTTATTCCTCCCCGACGAGAAAGACCAGGTGATATCACAATGGAAGCTGTTCAATATTTCAAATGAAATAGTTTGATGCTGGCAATAATCATGATTACAAGAATGATAATTTAGGGGAATTATTACGAGAGATAGATGAGCAATATTATCATTATGATGGAGGGGGGGGGTTGAGAATATTGGCGGCTTTTTTTCAATATGATACGATATTCACCAGATTAGGAAGGTATATCAGTCAGCCTCTGAATGGTAGTACTCCATCAGAAATAAACCAAACGATATGCACATTGAGTTTATTGATGTGTAGAGTGTACGGGAAAAAATCAATAACACAATAAGGGATAACGCGGGAATGAAATCATGTGGAAGAATAATGAGTAGGGGTGAGAGAGGTTGGAGGAAAAGAAACCACGTGTATATGTGATAGTCATAGTGCACTTTTTGTTTCTTAGCACGGCGTCCATGTAGACCATCTACTCAGCATTACTGTGATAACCAGTCATTCGAGAGTAAACTTGTAGTCCAGAGGCTCTGACACTTGATAGAGCTCCAGGTGTCTTTAAATCTGTCGGTGGAGTAGTGATAGGCCGTAGTTCCCTGTAATATATCTGTAAATCATAAAGTAGAGGAAAGCATAAAGAAACGGCATGAATATAAAACAGAAACCTGTTATGCATGTCCAAACCAAGTTCACTTTTAACAGTTTGAAATTATTTGGGTATTGGGTATATGGTATTCATTATAATTGAGGTTCTTTTTTGTATTTCCCAATGAATGAAAAACAAAACGATATTGCTGCTTTTAGTGACGTTTCGCTATTTAATGCTGCCAACAGCTTTATCAAAGTAGTAATATTAAACCAGAATTTAAAAAATCCACTCAGCTTATATTATGCAACAACTTTATCATTGTTCTTCAGTAGAGGGTCATTTTTACTTTATCAAGTTGGCCAATTGGTAAAGATAACAAAACCAGGTGTAGATTCCATATTAGTTTGTTTATTAGATATATCACACAGTGAAACAGTATTATTTACTGGATGACATTTCGAACAAAAATTTATTGTTCATAATCACATCAATTGTGATCACACGACTTTGACACTTGAGTTTTATAGCTTTCTTTGTCCTCTCCTATTTGTCGTAGTGATAGTAGAATTTTCCAGATATCGGGGACAGGTGATGAATCATTCCTATTACATGTATTTTGCAGTTGATTCGATAAACAAAGCTTCTGTTATCAATCTCTCCCTCCACCCTGCTGTTACATTAGATTAGATTTTAAAACTGTCATCCTATCCCATCCATCCTATTGTATGATTGTGTGTAACTGCATGTAGTGATTGCTATAGCTGAAATATTCTCTAGATTTCTCATCTTATTCGAGTCAACTAATCCAGATTTTGCTAAGTGTTTATGTTCAGCTAGTCTGACTACCCCTGTTCTACTAGTTTGACCTATGTATTTGACCTGACAGTCATCGCTGCAGGGTATTAGATGAACTAAATTGTTTTGTTTTAAAGGCTCTACAGGATCCTTTAACCGACAAAGCTTGTTTCTAATTGAGTTTGTGGGTTTGAATGCTATCCACGTTTATTCCTGCGTTGTTAAGAATTCTGCTTAACGTGGTTTCCGAGGTTCCTTCCTTGTATGGAATTACTAGTGATGATTTAGATTCTTTATTGTTGGTGTCGTCATTAATATTATTATTATTATTATCACTATTATCATTATCATTATTATTTTTATTATCCCTATCGCTATTATCATAATTTATTTTAATTTTACATTTCCTTACATATTTCCTGACTAATTTATCCGGGTAATTATTAAGCTTCAAGGCTTCTTTTATATGTATCAGTTCTTGTTTTAGATTCTCTTTGGTACTACTTAATTTTTGTGCCCTGTCACTTAAACATTTCACTAATCCTATTTTGGATGACATTGGATGGGATGATCGGAAGTCCAAATATCTGTTGGAGTGTGTGGGTTTCCTGTAAACACTAGTGTTTAACTTCCCATCTTCTTTCCTCTTTACGTTACAATCTAACATTGGCAGCTCCCCTTCCTGATTTGCCAATTCATAAGTGAATTGAATTGCTTCAACCTTCGAGTTGATGTGTTCGAAAAGCCTATCTATATCTTGTGTTCTAAGTACAGTGAATGTGTCATCTACGTACCTACACCATACTTTTGGGGTGGGGGTGAACGTTTCAATCGCTATGCTTTCCCACTTATCCATGAATACATCTGCTACCACTGGGGATATTGGTTATCCCATGGCAACTCCTTCAGTTTGTTTGTATATTTTCCCTTGGAATTTAAATACTGTGGAAGTCAGGCATAGCTGTACTCCCAGCATTACTTACTACCACAGTGCCCAGGTGTAGATTAATGTTGGATTTGAGAAGTGTGAAATTACAATTATATATTTTATAATATTATATATTAAGATATATAGATCTACACAGTTCATTCTTGGCGAAACTGAACAATCTATCTCCCAGAATCCAGTTTACTTCAAAAGCAGAATCAGATGTCGGTGAACTACCATTTCTAGACTGCCTGCCTAGTTAAGACGAGGGAAAACGGACATTTTAGTATATCTGTATTCAGGAAGAAAACCCACTCCAATTACAAGTATTTAGACTTCGGATCATCACGCCCCATCAGCTCAAAGGTATCAGTTGTTTCAAGTCTTCTTAGGTGAGTACACTCTCTGATGTTAGAGGATGAGAAAGAAAAAGTGGAAGAAGAAATATCAAACATTACTGAGACTCTCAAGCAAAACAACTACCCAACGAACTCCATCAACAAAATCAACACTGACATTTAGTATGGTTGAAAACGGATTCCGAAGACATGGACCTCAACAGTCATCATCATTCCACGTAGAGCAGAGAAGTCAGACGATATCAGAAGAGTACTCAGTAAGAAAGACATCAGAGTTTTCTTCAAAACATCAGACACGCACACTGCGAAACAAACTTGCCCATATACAATACCAAATCCCCAAACATTCTATATCAAATAGTGTCTATAAAATAAAATGCTTGGAATATGATGCGATATACACCGGACAAGCATCATCAAAGAGAAATCAAGGTAATCAGAAGAAATGAACACAGCGTAAAGCATTTGTATTCAACCACCGAGAAATAAATCCGGCTGAACTAGAAAAGTTTGAGAAATCATCAGCCATGGGCTGTCTAAACGCTACGCTTTAGAATCAGGGCACGAAATTGATTTTGAGAATATTGAAATCATCATCCAGAAAAAATTCAGAAATCACAAAGAACGTCTCATATCATCAAATGGAATCCAAATTGTCTGAAGAGGAATGATGAACTAAGACAGAATTTGACCTGGTGATAAGCAATTTCATTATGTAAACACACGCTGTTTTTATAATTTTACACACTTATCAAATCCAACAGTAATCTACACGTGGTTTTGTTATCTTTACTAATTGGCCAAGGTGACAACGGAAAAATGACCCTGAGGACTATTTACTGAGCACACACTGAATGATACAATCATAAATATTACGGATTATCTTAAATTCTACCTCGACTTATTCTGTCTCGAACAGACCATTTTCAAAAGACTTGACCGTTTCTCTTCTCCTCATCTCAAAAAGCCACGAAACGAAAGAAGAGCGGCTGTACAAGTCTATAGACAACTCTGGTCTAAAAAGGATAAACATCCTGATTAAATCTGAAATCCAACGCTGAACACTATTTATAACTAAAGACATTTGTCATGTAAAACTCCTGAAAAATGTAGAAACTTTTCAATGAAATTACAGGTTGTGGTAAGCAAAGTAATAATGTCCCCTTTGTTGATATGAATACTCCCAACAAATCTTTCCCACACTCTCCTAGTGATGCTTTGGTCATCAATGTAACAAATAAAAAGGTTAGTGAATTTATTGGTTTTAACACTTTTGATGTTCTTAAATGTTTGAAATGTCTAAAACTTTTCCAGTGTCTAGGTCCTGATGGAGTATCCACTGTCGTCCTCAGAGGCTGTGCTGATATTTTGTGTTACCCACTTACAAACATATTGAATACTTCCTTCTCCAGTAATGTTGTATCTGCTGCTTGGAAAGACATTAAAATCATCCTTGTACCCAAATCAGGTTCTAGAATTATTTATAATAATTATTCCGTTGAGGTCTGAGGGGAACATAAGACTTCAAAAACACATCTACACTTTGTCCTATCTTTTTACGTCCTCTTCAGCTTGGGCCACGACTGCCCACAATCTCTCATCTCCTCCTCCTCCATCTCACTCGATCTCCTCCATGTCACCCTCTCACCGACGTCTCACTCGTCGCTTCCCACTAGGATTCCACTCGAGTGATGGCCTACTTTCAGAGCGATGTCATTTGACGGCCTCCTCAATGTATGCCCGACCAGTCCATCACCACTGTCTCTTTTACATATTTGTTGAGCGATATGTTCTTGTTATGTTTGTTCCTACAGTTTCTTGTTGCTTATTTTTTCTGGCCGGCCATTTGATCTTCACTATAGAAAGTCTGCCATAGCGTGTTGGAAATCTTTTTCGTGACACACTGTCAAGTTTCTGACCTGTATATGAGAACTGACTGACTTGACATTGGTGTGGAACAGAATCCGAATCTCGTTCCTTATGCTGACGTGGAGCGCAGAAAATTTCCGAATTGGTTTCAGGTTGATGAAGGTGTATCTCGACTTTCCGATTCCGGCTGACTTTGACACCTTCATCCGTTCCACTAACCTATGGTTGAAACCATACTTCCTGGCTGGATAAGTGAAGGAGGCAATCTCTGTTAAATCTCCCCCGTTAATGCTGACTGGTGTTGATTATTGTTGCTGTTGCGATTCATTGGTTGGTTGGTTACCTTCATCACCTCCGTCTTATCTATGGTCTCCTGCAGTCCTGTCTTCGCTACCTGCTTCTTCAGCCAGTTTGTTGGTTTTTGCGTGTAAGTCTTCGCGTTTGTGTGACATTAGACATATATCATCTGCGAAATTCGGATCTTCTAGAGTATTCTTATCGGTTGTCCAGAGTATTCCTGGTAAACTACAAATCATATTTTCTACACGTCTGGTTGTGATTCTTCAAATCAAAGATGAAATATCTAGATTAGCTACCTCTTCGTGTATCCAACGACTCAGCTGCACTTGTGGAGCCAGTTATATTGGCCGTCACTCTAGGAACTTCATTTTTCGTGCTCGCTCGGGAACACCTACCAGTGTAGCTAAATAAAGGTTTAGTGAAAACCATCAACAGTTCGATATTTTCAAAAGAATAGACACGGAACAAACAGTACTCTTTTCGATAAATTCATCATCAGGTTCTACAATTATATATACACTCTAATGAATGAATGAATGAATTAGTCTTATGAACGACATTAATGTCTAAATAACATCAAATCAATAATACTGATAAATTACAGCTGAACAGCATCAACATAAAATAAACTGAATGTCAGAAGAATTAGGAAAGGTAATAGTGCAAATTCGTGAATTTATAGTCTCTACTGAGGGCCAGGGCAGTAGTAGGGGCTGGACTTGTTTCTTTTGAACACAGAACACTGATTGTTTGAGGCGAACTGCAATAGCCTCTGCTGTTTGGAGCATGCGGTGCTTCGACGATTTTGGTAGTTTGTTAAGCACCCAGTATATTATAGAGAAGGATTCTTCTACGCTGGCTTTGTGGCCGGCCGGTTTGCACCAGATGGTCTAATATCAAGCTGTTAATAGTTTTAACTACACCTTTACTTAGCCATAGTAGGATATGTTCTCTAGCACGAAAAATCAAGTTCCTAGAGCAATGGCCGATATGACTCGCTCCACAAGCGCAGTTGGATTGATAAATACAATTTGAAGTGGCTAGTCTAGGTACTTCATCTTTCAGTCGAGGTAGCACCATCGGCCTTGTAGAGAATAACATGTGTAGTTCGCCAGCATTAAAAGTCCTTTGAACTGATTTTCCTAATTTCTTCGTAATTAACTCGCTTGGTATATCGCCCATGAATTGTAGTCGTATATAAAATGGCTTCTTGTTTACAGATAGGGGGTAGTCCTTTTCGGCTTTCTTTGTCATATGACCACCTGGTCCAAACAGATCGCAAATAATCCTTCTCTGTAATCATCTATCGGGTGCTAAATAAATCGCAAAAAGCATCCAGGTACTGAATACTTCAAAAACAAAAGAAGCTATTGGAATTCGCCTAAAAGCAACTGGTGCTGGGTGTGTCGAAGAGACAGGTCCAACCAGTACTACTTCTATGGCCTAGTTTGGAGCCTATAAACTCATAAATTTGTAATATTATCTTTCCTAATTCTTCTGACATTCAGTTTATTTTATGTTGATGCTGTTCAGCTGTAATCTATCAATATTATTGATTCGATGTGATTTAAACAACATTAATGTTGTTCATAACACTAATTCATTCACTATTATGGATGCATATGACTGTAGAACCTGATGATGAAGTTATCGAAAAGAATATTCTATGTTCAGTATCCATTATTTTAAAGAATTTCAATCCCACCAAGAGGTCACTTATTCAGATACTGTCTGCGTAGTTTGGTGTCTCTTTCTTAAAATGTATATAAACCCCTAAAAATAAATAAGATCAACACTTTACTTTTTCCATTCGACTTGGAACACGATTTAAAATGCCAAGGAATATTGTAGTAGATGGTCGATGTTGATTTCTTATAGCACGTGTAAATTTACGAATAGCTGCAACATGAAAAGCAAAAGGGAGAATCGAAATTAGTAGACATGAATTTGAAACGAGAATAGGCATAGATGAGTAGCGGGGAAATTTAAAATTTCTGGTAAATATTGAAAACTTGAACAAGGCATTTTATTGAACATTTAATATCAGGAAAATGTTGCTATTTGTTGGTTATGCAGTGAAGTTCCTTACTGCGCCGATAGTTCAACGCAGTAGGATGCTTGCAAACCATGCATGTGATTTGGATTCAATTCCGTGATGACGCACAATTAAAAATCGCATAGCGTGTGGTAAGTTCAGCAAGGAGGGAAAGTTGAGCGTTGGGCTAGCGCTACTGTATCTTCAAAGCTTAAACTTGAAGCCTCGCAGAAAACTGACTCGATGACTATCGAATGGAACACTGGGTCGCAACAGCTCATCTCTGTTCCACTCGGTTCATCGTCACTTTCATTCTCAAACACCCGCCACAACTTTCCACAGGCATCCAATTCCCTTTCAGGAAACTCCATCTATGTAATCCTTGGACTTATGTCTCAGTTGTCAATTCCTACCATGATTCTACTGGAAGGCCTTAAAGACCATCTTAGTGTGTGTTTAAAATATCTTCATTTCTTTCCGCAAATTTCACTAGATGGCAGATTCTTGACTGGTTCTTTTGAAGAGTCCCTTGTTGCTCGTCTTTTCTGACCATCTGATCAAGTGAAAATGGAAGAAATGAAGGTCGTAGCTGTCTTTACCCATAGGTTTCGAAGTTCTCCCTCTAGGGTTAATGAGTATAATGTGGTGAGAAATTCTTTAATAAAAAGAATATTCCCATATTGAGTCATATTTGTAACGACAGAAGACAAGGGCCAGGCAACAGATCGTTTATTGAGAAAATCAACAGATATTCATAGAATTTTAGGTACATAATTGTCAGCGATGAAGTATCGTCTTCTGATTGGTTGTTTTCTTGCTAAAGGTTATTCTATACTGCTTGCGACCGATTCTCAGAAAGTTTAGCCATATATCTGCGAATCGCATCTGCTTACTTTAAGTCTTCTGTGATTGGTTTTTGAGTTCCTCAAGGTTAAGCTTTGTCGTTGTTTTTTTCTCATGGCCCCGATTCGGGACGTAAACATTGACGTAAATTACTGTCTACGATTTTGGCTAGCAGACAGCTCTCAGCACAATATGATAAAGACGTAAGCAGAGAAGGAAATTTTCTTTTCGACGATTCATTTTCAAAAGCCGTAGAAGAAGCTGTTAGCGGCTAGTAGATATATTTTTGATGTGGTTGTGTTCTCTGAGCTGTATAGTTGATTTGCGAAGCTTTCATCACCCTACTAAGTGACATCTTCAGCGCATACTTCAATGTGAAGTGAGCTTATAGATTTCTCCACGAGTTTATTAATCATCTCTCCTGGTGACATGGGCGTGATTGGTTGCTTTTGTGTGTTTCCACACATTCTAGGCTACTTGTATTGCAACTGATTGTTTCTTTGACTTGAACTTTGACCCTTTGTGTGCCAGATTTCCTTCTTATCGGTTGGTAAATTTTGTCTATCTCGATGTGTCTATTGATTGACGATTCACTGGAATACCAGGCTGCTAAAAATTTTCCATTATTCTTGGTGTTTCCTCTGTCTAGTATTTGAACGTTTTCCCAATGGAATTGATGTCCGTGGTTGTCTGTATGCAACGGTATGAGCGAGGGAGTGGATATCATGTCTTTACACAGCTAGTTTTTGTTCATTCATGAGAAGACGAAGAGGACGTCCACTTTGACCAATATAGCGTTGTTCGCAGTTGTTACAATTTATTTTGTAGATGATGTTGGTTTTATCTTCTTTCTTTGTTGAACCTTTTGGTTGACACAGGGGTGGCTAGCTGAGTAAAGTAATTTTGTAGGTTTTTGTGTGACGTCAATACCTAAAGGTTTGAAGAGTGTTGCAGTGATTTCTGAGATGTCGTGTTTTATATATGGTAGGGGGATTTTCTTCGTGCTTTTCTTGGGGGCCTTTGGTTTGATAAGTTGGCTTAGGGATATATCTTTAAATGAAGTTCAATGGATATCCATTCTTTTAGAAGACGTCCATAAGATATCTTTCTTCAGTTTTCCTTAAGGTGGGAGTGCTGTAATGAGTCTTGGCCCTCTTGTATAATGTTTGTATACAACTACTTTGGAAGGTTATGGGATTTTTGCTGTTGTAGATATCCTTGAAGCAGTAGGGTGACTGGGAAAATACGTCTCATCTGTGACGACATCGAAACCAACAACCTGGAAGTTCCCCTTCCTGTCAACTAACTGAAAGAACAACTTCTCGAATATACGTTCAATATTCGATACAGATTCATTGGACAATTCTGAGTACAGAAAGATGATGTCGCTATGGTGTATTCTGTTGGTCCACTCTTAGCTGAACGCTTCATGGAGAATCTTTGGAAACATCATGCTTAATCCTTTGATAAGTCAACTGCATCTCTACAAGAGATAAGTGGATGATACTTTTGTTACTTGTGATGAAAAATTCTACCTAGACTACCTCCTGAAAAAACTTTCAACGCTTCACACCCTTCAATAAAATTCCCCCTAGAACATGAATCTCACATGTTGTCTTCATTCCTGGATGTACTACTTACTTGTAGACAAGACTACTCGACCAAAAGATCAATATGTCGCAAATAAATGTGGACTGGACAATTTATAAAATTTCAGAGCTTTGTTCCACTGTTCCGAAAGCAAAACTTACTAGGTACTTATGCTCAAGCATTCGAAAGATTTGTTGGAAAGATGCGATAGAGAATGAAGTAAAATCACTACTTGACACCCTACTAGAGAACGGGTATTCATCCATATTTATTGACAAAAACATGAAACAACTATTTCTACGAAAACTCTTTTCACGAATCTAGAATTCAAAAGTGAAATTGAAGCAGAAATTCTTAGAAACCGCCTTTCTAAATGTCTAAAGACATTTCACGTAGCCACTTTACGTATCACATTCTTCAGCAGAGAGTTAATCCAGTCAGGCTTTAGGGAGAAGATGCGGCTTTTGGCTGTCTCAGTGTGTATCTGTCAGTCTACTTGTTCCTGTGGAGCAAACGTATTGTGGAAGACTGTCCATCTTGGCTAGCTATAAGAGTAAAGAAGAATATCCGTAGCTCTAGCCTCCAACACCTTGTCGTTTCTGGACGTCAGGCACTCCTCTCTAGCATGACTGCTTTACATTACTAGACAGAGTTCCTCAATATCGTAAGGAAGGACTTAGAATACTCCGTCTATACATAGCTGAATCATTGGCTATTCATGATCTGAAACTGGACCACTTTGTTCGAAAGCACTACACACATTCACTTACCCTACTGTGGAAAGAGTAAGGTTCTTACCATAGTTTCGCTTCATTTTTTTGTCTAATTTTACTATTATTATTTTCATTATTCTTATTTCATTATCACTCTGTTAATATTTATTTATAAAGTTGCATTTTCATATCGACTTTATGTAGACACTTTACAATCTTTTCACTCGTTTTTTTCCACCCTACACGATTATATTAATTAGTCATTTTTTCACATTTATTACGTCATTTCAACTTCTTCCCCCCCCTTTTTCTAATCTCAAATTAGTTATTCCCTTCTAGATTACACCAGAAATTATTGCATGCATTATGAATTCCTTGTTGAATATAAATACGATTGTACAGCGGCATTTGAAAATGAATCATCGAAAAGAAACTTTTCCTTGCTGTTTATGACTTTTTCATGTGTTGAGGAATGTTGAGGTTAGGCATAGAATGCTAGATAAGGAAAGAAACTTAGCCGGTGAGGTGAAGTTGCATCGACTGAGATGGCTAAGACGCGTGTTACGCACGCCAACTCATTGTTTCTCTTGTCCACTTGTGTTACCTGATATAGAATTAGGTTGGGAAAGAGTTTGGTGGTGGTGCGGGAATGGGACGTGATCAAATCAAAATGTGGCATCAGTTATGAAGTCGTTGACTGTTGGTTTATGTCATATAGGGAGGTTTAGAATGCCTGATTAGGGTTCTCGGGAGGCTGAGAATCACTGGCTGGAGACTAGCTGTAATATGGCTCAAAGTCGTTCTTGGGGGAGAGAAAGAACTTACTCATTGTAATCTGCCAAATCTGTTGAATCCTCATAGTGTTCCATATAACTGTTTTTCTGTCCCTCAAATTTCTCCTCAAAAATGTATTTTGAGTTTCTGATTTTTTCGAGTTTAACCACGGATTGTTATCATTTAGAAGACAATTGGAAACCAACACCAGAGTACTGGACAGCTGTTTCATCCTAGCTTATTTTTGGGAATCATCGGCAGTACGCACACACCACAGGGGTTTACACCCAGGACATTCTGGTTGCAAGACAAGCTCATATACCATTAAGCCACTGGGACCCAACCCGATTCAATGGCCTGCGCATGAATTCTAACTTCTACCAACTCGTGATTTAGCGCGGCCACCAACAAATGTCATCGGTGGGAATTGCATCCTTCCTACCGACTGGATGCAACTCACTAGAACTCCAGGAAAATCAGTCTTGGATTCGAGCCCTGGCGGTAGGTGCGTACCGCCGATGATTCCCAAAATAGGATGAAACAGCTGTCCAGTACACCCTGCAGGTTTTCAATGGTTCTCTAACTAATATCAATTCGCCGTCAAACTCGTGAAAAGAAAACAAACCGACTATAGAAAATTAATCTGATGCTCGCTAGTGAATTGCTACAGGATGGAGATAACTGCAGTTCTAGTGAGAAGTCGTGACCAGTGAGATCCATCCAGTCAAGTGTCAGGATGGATAGCCCACCGATGACATGGTTGGTGCCAGTCGAGCTAAATCACGAATTGGTAGAAGTTAGAATTCATGAGCTGGTCATTGAATCGGGTTGGGTCCCAGTGGCTGAATGGTATACGAGCTAGCTTTCCTTGTAACCGGAAGGTTTTGGGTTCGAACCCCAGTGTGGTGGATGCGTAGTGCCGATGATTCCTAAAACTTAGATGAAACAGTTATCCAGTACTCCGGTGCTGCTTTTTGTCCAGTTTGACCACGGATTGGTATCAGTTAGAGGACAGTTGAAAACCAACCAGGGAGTATTGGACAGCTGTTTCATCCTAGTTTGGAACTCATCGGTTGTACGCACCCACTGAGCTTCGAAGACAGGACCTTCCGGTTACAAGGAAAGCTAGCTCGTATACCATTCAACTACTGGGACCCAAATCGATTCAATGGCCAGCCCATAAATTCTAACTTCTACCTGATCCTGATTTAGCGCGACTGGCACCAACCCATGTCATCGATGGAAATCCAACCTTACTTCTACTGGTTGGAACTCGCTGGTGACGAATTCTCAGTAGAACTACATGAAAGTCAATCCTGGGTTCGAACCCCAGTGGGTGCCGATGATTCCTAAACTTGAATGAAACCGCTGTTCAGTACTCTCTGCAGGTTTTCAATGGTTCTCTAACTAATATCAATCCGTGGTCAAACTCGTAAAAGCAAATCTAATACGTTAAAAACCAACTCATGAAACTTTCGATTTTATCTGTTTTCTGTAACTTTTTGTGCTACATGGAGGAATGTGACAACTGGAAGTGCTGTACTTCTCTGAAAGGTTCTACGTTGAAACTCAATCACTCTATTAATCAACGAGTAAAGGCAACTTCTGTTGGAAGTCTTCAATCATTAGTCTTGACCAATTAATTAATTGTTTTCAAATGTTTAATGATTTTGTTAAAACACGTCCCTAAACACACACGCACATGAACACACACACATGAAAATGTACACAAAACAAGCATTTATTTACGCGAAACAATATTTATACATATGCACTTACTATATGCTACAATCAAATACCTTAAAGGTATAAGATAGAGAAGTAGTGAGACTAGGAGAACGATGATTAAAGCCAGACAGGTTAACCATGGATACCTCCATCGACATAAGCTTGAAAAATTGGGGAGAAAAGAAAGAAAAAACAACAACAACGAAAGGAGTGAGAATACATGAAATTAAACAGCTGGGTATTGGTCAACAGTGAAATCTGACGATCCTGAATAAGGTTACAGGATTTCACCATGAGCTAACATCAGCAAGAGAATCATTGGAAAACTAACACGGAGTACTGGACAGCTATTTCATAATAGTTGGAGGCTTTTTGGCAATCTGCACTCACCAATAGGGTTCGAACCAAGGACCTTCCAGGTACATTAATTCCAACTTCTGACAGTTCACAACATAATGCGACTGGCACTAGCCAATGTCATCGGTGACGAGTATCTGGTCACGATTCCCCCTAGAATTCAGGTAACTACCTACCTGAATTGGATCCTCCGCTAGTGAACATCGGATTAGGGTCCTGGGTTCAAACCCCCTGTGGTGGGTGAGTACTGCTCAAGAGTCCCAAACTAGGCGGACGAAACAGCTGTCCAGTACTCCCTAAAGGTTTTCCAGTGGTTCTATAACCGATGTCAGCTCATGATGAAATCATGTAACCAATCAAATCAAATCCCTTCAAAACAATACTTGAACTCATTATAGGTATTGAAATGAATATCAGACTTGATCAAGTGTTGAAGAAGGCGTCATTATTCCTTGGGATACACCTAATTATCCAAAAAGAATATAATGGGTCAATTGTGCAAGAATTTGATTGATAGACTCACAGTATCAGGATAAAATCAATATCAAAATTATATCTAGACAGTTGTACAAGTATGCCTGTATTCCAATACGGGTAAGTAGACACAGAAAGATGGATGAAGGCCTTTGATTGATGAAACGGTAAATTTTTGATTGAAAAATATATACTACTGATTAGTTGAAATGAGTAGTTGTATCTCCGTTATATCAACACAAGTCCGGTATTTAGATCACTTCTATCTGGCTAGCAAGTACTGTTGGTTGTTGTGTCTGTGGTACATCTCAGTACTCATCTTAGCCAGTCAGTGGTTTTTAACTTGGTTTCTTGATTACCATTCATGCAGTTAAGCACGTCATATTATCTTGTGAAAGGAAACTGGGGTGTGAAATAATGACCTCGAAGTGCAGATTAATTAATTTGTAAGTGTGTGAATTCAATTTAAAGTAGACTTGACTGCTGTGTCAGCCAGTTGAAGAGATGGTTAGTATATCAGATAATCTTGTTGTTTTATTGCGCCTTTGAACTCCTCACTTCTAGTGTACTCCAAGAATCATGAAATTTAAATATTCTACTCGATAGTTATTGAGTTGAATACGTATTTTATTATTATTATTAACTTCATCTACTTTGCTAACCAATTTAATTTCCTGAGAAGAGAGAAGGTTGATCATGGAGCTAGTAACTCCACGACGCAAAAACACTCCGTCGTTACAGAAACTCTTCAATTTTAGGAATGGATGATGCCGGCAGGTAAAAGACTTCGGTAAGTCGGTCGGGCAGCATTTCTTCTTCTAATGAAATCAAAAGTAAGTGTTGGGAGCATGAAATGTCCTCATCATATTTGATAACGAAGTGATATCATCATCTGGATTATGTGTGAGACTGTGGGTGGCGAGGAGATAGGAGTACTCTGGACCATCAATGAGAAGACTCTAGAAGATGCGGATTTCGCTCGTGGATGATATATGTCTAATGTCACATGAACTCGAAAACTTACAGAGAAAAACTAACAAACTTGCTGAAGAAGCCAGAGAAGATAGGACTGCAGGTGAACATATAGAAAACGGAAGTGATGAAGACAAGCAACCAACAGCAACATCAACAACGTGCACTAATCGCTGTCAGCAGAAGAGATTTAGCGGCGGTTACTTCCTTGACTTATCCAGCCAGGGAGCACGGTATCAACCACAGGCCAGTGGAACAGATGAAGATGTCCATAGTCAGACAGAATCTGAAAGGCAAGGCAAGGTACGCCTTCATCAACCTGAAACCAATTCGGAAATCTCTTGCACTCAACATAAGGGACAAGATTCGGATTTTCAATACCAGTGTCAAGTCGGTCCTTCATCAACAGCTTCCTTCGCTGTCTTCATACTGAAGATCAAATGGCTAGAAGTAATTTGTAAAAAGAAACTGTGAGAACAAACCAACCAAGAACCGGTCGCTCAACAAATATGTAGAAGAAAATGGAGATGGATCAGGAATACATTTAGGAGACAATTGAATGACTTCGCGCGCGATGCAGGCCATTGTTCGATAGGAATCCCAGTGGGAAGCGACGGGTGGATCGGCCTAAGGTGACATTGAGGAGATCGTGTGAGATGGAGAAGGAGATGAGAGATTGTGGTAATCGTGGTTCAAGCTGAAGAGGTCGGCAGAAGATAGGACAAAGTGGAGATGTGTTGCTGAAGCCCTATATTCCACTGGGAACTCAAGGGAATAATAGTAATATCATCAGTAGTGGAAACACTAGAAAGGAACTCAGTATTCATCTTGAAAATTAACAATTCTCAGACGAAAGCTTTGAGAAGTGATCAATTCGTACAAGTGAAGAATGAAAGGGGTTCTGATCGACGTTCAGATGGTATAAGTTGGTAATGAATTCGTCAATTTCTAATGAATCCAACAAGTTTTCCTTTTAAAGATTTTTCTCTTCATGTTAATGTGTACAGGAGTATCTTAACTAAATCATGGTTTCTAAGTGAATTACCATTGGTAACGAATGTAAACAGTTGGAACCATTGAACGATTAAAAAAAATACTTCTGAATTATAAAAAATCATTGTTGTTTCATGGCAATTAAAAGAATATTAGGGGATTATTGAATGCAAAATTAGATCTTTAAATGGGTTTCATGTGGATGAACTTGTTGAGGAAAAGTTAAGAAAATACTGCAGTTGATGGCTTTTTCTAGTTTGAATAATTTTAGATACAAAAGTTTGATTGAAGTGCTAAGAAAACAGTATACAATATCCTTCTAAATAACCTTGAAACAACCAATAGCCTAGTCACCAATCAGATTACTTCTCAGCTGGCTTTCTAGTTACTCTAAGATACTTTTGACAGGTTTCTATGCGTGTATTCCTCTACATAAGACTGTATAAGATTTCCTTGAGTAAAACCCTTTTGACTCTGTATGATTAGTTAGTATGTTAGACATTGTGAAGGTTGCTTCAAAGTTATTTGGGAGGTTGTCAACCGCGGTTGCTATTCTTCGTCTTCAAGAAAAAGAGAAAAGATGGAATTCTCTACAAGCCGAATACCTCATTTCTCTGGTGGTCTTCATTGTAGTTGATCAACTCGTAAAAACAAAATTAATCCTTACAAACCAGCTATAGAGAATTAATCTAATGCTTGCTAGTGACTTGCTACAGGATGGAGTTTCCTGCAGTTCTAGTAAGAAGTCGTGACCAATGAGATCCAACCACTCAAGTGTCAGGATGGATTTCCCACCGATGATGGCATTGGTTGGTGCCAGTCGCACTAAATCAGGAATGGGTAGAAGTTAGAATTCATGGGTTGGCCATTGGATCGTGTCCCAGTGTCTGATTGGTGTCCCAGCTAGCTTACGTTGTAACTGGAAGGTCCTGGATTTGAACCTCTGATGGTGGATGCGTACTGGCGATGATTCCCAAACTAGGATGAAACAGCTATCCAGTACTCCGGTGCTGGCTTTCAATGGTTCTCTAACTGATATCAATCCGTGATCAACTCGTAAAAACAAATCTAATCCTTACAAACCAACTAAAGAAAATGTATTGTAATTAACCATTTTTACAAAAAAAACTGACGGAACTGACGAGGATATCAAAGCAAGAATCGCAAAAGCAAGACAAGTTTTCACTACTCTTAAATCTGTGTGGAGGTCAACAGCACTCAGCATCAAAATCAGAATAAGATCCGGATTTTCAACTCCAATGTGAAGTCAGTGCCATTATACGGATCAGAGACTTGCACTGCGCGTGATAAAGAGCATCTCAAACAAACTACAGACCCTCATTAACAGTTGTCTTCGCTCAATACCACTCAAGATCAGATGGCCAGCCAGAAAAGATCAGCAACAGAGATCTGTGGGAGCGAATCAACCAGGAACCGATTGTGAAACAAATAGGTAGGAAGAAATGGAGATGGATTGGCTGCTCATAATCTGAGGAAACCATCAAGTGACATCACACGACAGGCCATCACTCGAGTGGAATCCGAAAGGGAAGCGGCGAGTTGGTCGTCAGTGCAAGGGTGGCTTGGAGGAGGTCATGTGAAGAGGAGATGGAAACGTGTGGGCAGATTTGGAGCCAGGTGAAAACTCTAGCAGAGAACCGAACGCAGTTGAGACGCACGGCTCAAACCCTATGTTCCTCTAGGAATTAAAGGAAATAGTAATAATAATTAACCACTTTTAAAGGATTATCTATTGAAATACTCAATTATACTCCCATTTTAAGATTGCTTGCAAATGGATTTCAGTCAGAAGACCACTGAAAAACCGGCAGGGAGTACTGGACAGCTACTAAATGCCAGTTTAGGAGTCTTCATCAGTGTGGGTGCCATGGCCGCATAATATTACCGTCAATGACAAGTAGATAGTTTCGAGTCTTTTGCGCTAACGAACTTTCCTATCTAGTAGATTTGTAAGCCTATTGTTCTAATCATCAATCATAACGACAGCCACCATGACACGATACCACTGAAACGCGAAGTGAGAAAGAACGAAAGAAAGAAAGGAATCAGATACACCGTTGACAAGAGATCTTTTATTGTCCTGAATCAACACAAAAATGACTTGGCAGCCATTCCTCACGTGAATGCTGCCTTATGAGACATTAATTTCATTGATAAGTTAAAACAGGCAATAACCGATAGGGTTTAGTCGTCATATGCGAGGGAAATGCAAAATTCACAATACTATTGTGGTGAGAGATGGTTGCTAGCCGAATTGGTTGACAGTGATTGAGGTCAATGTTTATGTATCAAATATTATTCATGTTGTGGTGAGAGATGGTTGCTAGCCAAATTGGTTGACAGTAATTGAGGTTAATGTTAGTCATGTGAAAACAAGGTCAAGATAGACAGGCGGATACAGTTAACATATAGATGAACTGACACAGCCACAAGAGATGCAAGGTTAACTTCGTGTGAGAAACAACCAATCAACAGACTGTATTTTCTACTAGCATTAACGTACAATAATGTACATCAAAATCTATAAATATGTGTTGATTTTCCGTAATAAACGTTCTGTTGCCTGGCCCTTGTCTTCTGTTGTTACACTATAAATAAAGATAGTGGTTTAAAGCTTAGGAAAATTTAGATTGATCAAACACCCGACTATGCGTAGGGACGAATTTTCGGTGAACGTGAAGATTAGCGACCAATGATCGTGAAAGCTTGACATCCTATGTTCCATTCGGAACTCAATGGAATAAAACTCCGTTATTCAAACAGTTATCACATAAAAAAGGAATAAATTTTGCTTGTTTTTTTTTGGACTTACTAATCAAGTCTTTCCAGAAATGATGTAATCTGTTCTGCAACATCCTGCAATGTACCTAATATTGAACGAATTTTATTCAATTTTGTTGTGAAGCTGGTTTTTTTGTCCTTCTATAAAAATAAACAAAAAGGAAGACGATTATTATGATGATGATGTTGAGTAGAATAATTTGATTACGTAATTCTATTGTGTGTGTGTATGTTTTTTTCTTCTGTTGTTCCCTCTCTTCCTGTATTCTATGCTACTCTATTCTCTGATGAGGATTTTGAATAGTCCGCCATTTAAATGATGATGCTAGTGCTGCTACTGATGCTGATGCTGATGAGGATGAGGATGCTGTGCACGCATCACCTGAAGAATAAACTCACTTCCTGTACTTTGTTTTGAGTATTGTTAAGAAAAAAATGATGAAATACGAGAGGAAGTAGATCCTTAAAGATTCTCTATCTAAAATTGTGTCTATAAAAAGAAAATGCTTGCTTGGGGAATGTGGTGCACGATATACATCGGACAAACATCTGCAGAGAGAGAAATCAAGGTAATGAGAAGAAATGAACACCGTAGAGCATCTGTGTTCGACCACGGAGAAATAAATCCGGTTAAACTAGAAAAGCTTGAAAAATCATCAACCAGCCATAGGTCTACACGGTGTTCTATAGAATTAGGCCACAAAATCGATTTTGACAATATTGAAATCATCATCCAGAAAAAGCATTTCAGAAATCACAAAGAACGTCTCAAATCATCCGAAGCACTTCATATCATCAAATGGAACCCAAATTGTTTGAACTGTATAGGAATGATGGACTAAAACAGAATTTGACCTGGTTACAACACCCTACCCCACTCCCCATCAAATGACAAAATCAACACAAATGTGATAAGCAATTTAATTTTGTAAACACACGCTGCTTTTATAATTTTACACACTAATCAAATCCAACAGTAATCTACACATGGTTTTGTTATCTTTACCAATTGGCCAATTTGACAACAACGCGAAAATGCCCCCATGCTGAGGAACGATGATTAAGTTGTTATATATAACCTGAGTGGATTTTGTAAATTCTTCTGGTTTAATATTACTACTTTGATAAAGCAATTAGCAGCAGCATTAAATAGCGAAACGTTAGTAAAAACAACGACAGTATCGTTTTGTTTTTCATTCATTTACTGGGAAATACGAAGAAAACCTTTATTATAATGAATATCATATACCCAGTGCACAAATTTTCTCAAATTGTTTAAAGTGAACTTGGTTTGGACATAAATATTAATGAACTCTATTCATCTTTTCCATATTTCTTTCCACACCTTTTGTGTGTGTGTGTGCGTGTTTGTGGACGCTTGTGTGTCTCTCAGAAGTACTCACTAGGCTGTGGGTTAAAATAAGATCGATAATGTGCATTAGACTCTTTCAGTTAGTTGGTTAGTTAGTATTCCATTACTCAGAACGGATGCGATTGGATCACACTATCTGAAACATGTGAGGAGTGATACGAAACTGGGACTCATTGTCTTCAATGTTAAATTAGAATTTAACATAATCGGTGGCCTGCACAAACCTTCAGCCACCAAAAGTCTTTCATATCTCTGGTGCATATATTATCTCTCGTTCGATTTGTTCTAATCGATTAAGAGATTACCTCCAATAAGGGTATTATCTACTCTCCTGTGTAGTATTTAAAATCTTTACAAGCTCCTGTCTGATTCAGAAGTTTCTACTAAACTTGAGGAATGGTCTGTTGTGAGGGTGACAACGTGTTCCAATACAACATGAGATAACTGTTCTTCAATTATGTCCTTGGGTCTCAAAATGTACTTCGGAACATCTTACAATTGACTTTCAACTAGATCGATATCGTGGATGGATTTCTTGAAGGAAGGAGACAAAGCAGATATATCATCATAGTGGAATGGTTTGTGCTTCAGCTCAGAGAGATCATTGTGTCACAGGAAGGATATACTGTCAATGAATTAATATTTTACTTGAAGATATTGTACGAAGAGGGGTGGGAAATATCATGCAATAAACTCATCTGTACATTTTATATATACTGTCCAGAATAAATGTTATTACTTCTAAAAGCTTTTTTTGGATTTATAATGACAAGTGCGACAAGTGGAGACGATTCAAAGTGAGGATAGTAATGGAAATAATCTTAGTAATAATGAAAGGGTATATAGAATAACTAAATAAACAAAATAAATAAATAAATGTCTATCCCTTTATGGCCAAGGCAGAATTAGGGATTATACATACGTCTTTTGTACAGAAAGGCCGTATCAAGAGAATGATTTGCACACGGATACGAGAACATATTCCAGAATGGTTTTGCAAGGGAAAAAAACACCTGGTCGACTCCTGTCACTCTGTCAACCCTGACCATGATTTTAAGATCATCTATAGAATTCATGCTAAATTGCTGTCCACATTTTCTTCGTTATAGACTTCTAAAGACAGTGGAAACCTTGATCATTCATGAATTTAAGCCAACCAGACCTTTGTGTACAAAAGAAGAATGTACAATGCCTACTTCTACCTTGGCCGTAGAGGGATAGACATTTATTCATTTTGTTTATTTAGTTATTCTATGTACCTTTCCCTTATTACTACGATTATTATTATCATTACTATTCTCACTCGGAATTGTTTCCACTTGTCCCACTTGTCATTCCAAATCCAAAATTATGTTTTTACAATATTGAATTCTATCTTATCAAATTTCACACCATGTTATGTAACATTTTATATTCGCCTACTATTCCTATAATTAGGCACTCCTTTCCAACATCCATACATCTTATGAATTGTTCTATAAGTGACGTTAATTGTTTTGCCACTTGACATTTAACTACGATTATAATCACAGATATTTGAATTGCATTTCATCCTACCAGTATTATTATTTTATCTATTCACACCTTTGATTCATTTCCCTCACCGGATATAATTTTTAAAAACCATATAAATATATATACATATATATATATACGGTTGTACAGTTTGATAATAAATTCTTTGAGAAGAGTCTCTTCGGTGAATATTACGTTCTTGAATGTTAAGTATTACACCCAAGAAACCAATGAAACGGAGAAGGCCAGACACGTGGTAATGGACTTTTATATTAAGGAAAAACACACCATTGTGGATAAGATTTTATTTTGATAAATCACACAGTGTCGTGCAGTAATATTAACTGATCACCACGTTTCGAGCACAAATTATTGCTCATAATCATATCAAGTCAGTACTCACATAACTTCCTTGCTTCACTTATATACATGAGTAAAAATTGATGATTAGGCATTTGAATAAAATCAATATAAGATAAAGCACATTCATAGATAATATTAGGGCTATCAATCAAATACAATCAGATGGGAAATAAGACGAGTGTTTTTGTAGCCAAAATAAATAAATAACTTGTTAAAATGTTAGAATGTGAATTGAAATACATTTTAACATTGTTTATTATCCTCTTCTGATTTGATTGACTGGTGGTAATAATATCTTCCATATCTCTAGTATTTGCACTGAGTCCCTTCTATTGCATGTGTCGTGTTGTGTGTGTAGACTCGATGATCCAGGCAGGATTCAGTAATCAATCAATCTCTCTCTCCGCCTACCTATATTACTTTTTAGAATTTTGACTCAGTCCCACCCACCCAATTGTGTGATTGTGTGTTAATGTATTCAATGCTATTGCTGAGTTGTTTTCTAAATTACTTATCTTCGTGGGTGGGGTTAATCATTCTAACCTTAGCTAAATTCCTATTTTCTGATAATCTCACTATTCCTGATCTACTAGTTTGACCTATGTAGTTGACTTAACTAACAGTCATTGCAATGACACTAATATTATTTCTGAATGTACTTTATCTCATTTATATTGATTTTATCTAAATATCTAATCAGTTTCACTCATGTATATAATTATTTTATTTTAATTTTAATATAGCTTGATTCCACACAGTATTTTGGTACAAGTATGAAATTTTCAGCATGTGATATCGGTAGCCCAAATTTAGAAGGCCGACCATAGATATCGGGTGTGTGCCGGCAGGGGATCGAACCCCGGACCATGTGCATGGTCGGCGAGAGTCCTAACCGCTGTGCCACCGAAGCAGAATATAAATGAAGCAATAAGTTGTGTGAGTACCTTGACATGATTTTAAGCAGTAATGAATTGCGCTCCAAACGTGGTGATCAGGAAATATTACTGTATAACAAATACTGTGTGATTTACCAAAATAAAATCTTATCCATAATGGAGTTCTACTCAACCACAGTGCCTAAGTTGGTCTACCTTTGCTAAACACTTTAAACACAGTGTGTATGTGTGTGTGTGGGTAAACAGTTGTAAAGCATTTCTTAACGTCTCCATAAGAATTACATTAACAAAGAAACTGTGTAATTGGCACAATCATCGTGTTTTCACTCTCCGTTGTCTGCAACAGAATGCATATCCTAAATCCGTAGGTGTCGAGTCACCTGACAGCTGCAGTAGGTCAAATAAAGCAGCTCAATCTTCAGAAAGAAGACAAAGCAATAAGTCCGACAGGGTGCTTCTACTAAACTCTAATCCTAAACACCATAATTTTGAAAATACGTCTAATCATAAAATTCTAGATACTAACAGTTTGAACAGACATGAAGGCGTGATGTTAGCTGATGCATAGGAAATCCTTATTAATAAATAAAAAATGGATATGTATCACTAATTATTAATACTTGGTCAAAATTCTTGACTGTCCATTTCTTCTTATGGAGACGTTAAGAAACGTTCTACAACTGTTTACCCACACACACACACACTCTGTGTTAAAGTGTTTAACAAAGGTAGACCAATATTTGTAAGTCCGAGGTCAAATTTTGATCACAGCTCATAAAATTTTGTTTATTATACTTGTTAATACTTGTTTTATGAATCATGATTGGATAAAGTTTTTAAAAACAAAAAAATGTGCCTTTTATATATAAACCTCTGTTATGTTAATTTCGATTAATTTCCCTGAGGAAGTTCGGACCAGATTGCCGAACACGGATGAAACGTTGGAATTACTCATTTCAATCTCGCTGAGATTTTACAAATATAATTTTTACAAATTTTTAGACACATTTAAGGTTTTCAATGGTTCTCTAACTGATATTAATCCGTGATCAACACGTAAAAACATTTAAGGTCGGCTAGTTTAGTGTGGAAGATCACGTGTTCTGATTGGTTGTTGATTTTCTGAAAGATAAACAATTAGACGAAAAGTTAGTTGTCCAATGAGATTGTTTCCTGACCACAACGTAAGCTAAATCTAGATTTAAGGAATAGACACTTCTGCTTTTGTAACCATTTGTCTTGAAATATTGTTTACAATTCGGGCTTCTTCCTATCAACCTATGTCTATGCACTACTGATAAACCTTGTCAGTATTATATGCTACTCAAATGATGTATTAAGTAGGGTAGAGTTGAAGTAGGCGAATTACAAAACTTCTAAAGATGACTAAATAAGTGAACTGGTATAAAGATTTTAAAATTGTAGGTCAGGTGTTGTCTAAACAATTAACGGTGTGATGATGATAACAGTAAAGACGGCGAAGATGAAGTGAAGTGGGATGCACTCAAGTGATAAAATAAAATTAAAATAAAAGAGCATAACTATGACCAAGTAAAGAAAGGGGTTTCACAAAAACGTTTTCGAACACATAATTTAGGTTTCTGTTCATGCATAGCTAGAGCTTCGGCTATCCATAAGTGGAGAAAACGTAAGCTTTTGAAGTGACTGGATTTGGTCCCATAGGTAACTTTAAAGGATAAATCACGTGGTTCTGAATGAACTGACTCCAAAAGGTGTTAACAAATTCAAGACTTTCATTAAGCAAACCGGATAGTGTTCAGCTATGCATTTACGTAGAACACACTTACAACGTCCAATATAATCAGTCGTACACAAGTATGTGAATGAGTTTATGCACACAGAAGTGGACAAAAGAGGTAGTTTATGTTTAACGGATTGTCAAATCATATTTTGGCTGGTAAATACTAAATGTATAAGTTAGCTGCATAAAATGACTTAATACCCTTTTCCGTAATATAAATATGACTGCTGTACAGTTGCTTGGCAGTGAAGTCGTTGAAAAGAGATATTTCTTCGCTGAAGACAACACCGTGTTTCTCCTTATGAACTAATGGGTATCTTAAGCGATTTAATATTGAATACGCTGATAAATGTTTCCCTTGTGGAATAGGGATTTGAATTAATTTCACTGTAGGATTCATCACCAAGCAAAATCAGTTGAAGAGCCATTGAATACTGAGGGGAACTAGACATCTGTCCCTTCCTAGTTTAGTATTCTTCAGAAGCACTCAATCATGAACCCCATAGGGATCGAACCCAGGACATTCAGGCTACTAGACCAGCTGACTGGCCTTGTAACTATAAGGTCCCAGGTTTGATCCTAGATGATAGTTATAGGTGTGCATCTCTGAAGAATATTAAACTAAGACGAAACAGGCTGTTCCAGTAATTCACCAAGTGACAATGAAATTACAAAATATTATTGAAAAACAACATGTGAATTCAATTGGTTATAACAGAATTACCTTTTTCCTTAAAATGGCTTCATCTTCATTGTCCATATCAGAATAATAACCATAATTCTAAAATTAAGTGTTTTTTAATCGATCAATATTTAATAGTGTAAATTATAATTTACCTCTGGATGTATGATATCCTGATCGTCTTCATTCTAAAAAAAACGAAATAAGTAGGCATATACGTAAAATATGCTTAAGACAAATTAGGCTACTCAAATAAGTAATTAAGTAGGTAAACATTTTTGTGAAAATATTTTCATTCGCTGGCTTTAGAATACTGATGAAAGGCATAAAAGTGATCATGTCATACGTAGAACAAAATACCTTTGAGGACTGGTATCAAACTAAGAACTAGTAAGAAGTTAGATACTCTCATGAGTGTTGAGAAGATGAATATGTCAAAGCAGGTGGGTCAGAAACTTGCACGACGTGTCACGAAAAGTATTTTTAATAGGACATCGCATAATTTTATCAACAGATGTCACCTTCGCTTGCTGGCTCCATACTGAAGATCAAATAGCCAGCTGGCCAGAAAGAATTAGCAACAATAAACTCTGGCTGGGAACAAACCAACCGAGAGCCGATTTCTCAATAAATATGTAGGAGAAAATGGGGATAAATAAGGCATACGTTGAGGATCCCGTCGAATGACATAGCGCACGATGCAGGCCATTGCTCCAGTGGGATCCCAATGGGAAGCGACTAGTGGGTCGTCGATGAGAGGGTGACATGGAGGAGGTCATGAGAGGAAGAGATAAGAGATTATGGATGAACATGGGCCCATCTAAGGGGGACGGCAGAAAATGGAACGAAGTTGAGATGTGTTGCTGAATCCGTGTATTCCCCTCGGAATCCAAGGGAATAATAATTTAGCGTGACCATGAACCAATGTCATAGGCAGGAACTACATCCCAAACTAGGATGAAACAGCTGTCCAGTACTGTATGTTTCTCAACGGTTCTCTAACTGATATCAGTCCATCGTCTATCCTGAATTTATAGAAAGTATTGGTCAGTGGCGATTAGAAACTGAGTCGAAGATGAACATTTCGTCCTGTTTGGAACTCGTCGTCTGGATGTACTTGATTTCCTAGTGAATTATTGTTTACTCACTGAGACTTAAACACAGCATCCATAGTTTTGACTGCCAGAATGTTATTCCCTTCGAATACTACAGATCTCTGTAGAATCATTTAGCTGACATGTATCAAAAAAGACTGTAGTAAACGTCATGGATTAACATTAACAAAATAGAACCATGTCAGTCTTCAGAAATCGTCAAAGCATCCATGTGAGGAGCTCAAACAAGTAAAGAAAGAAAGAAAGAAGATAAAATGATGTACTTAAGATGAAATCTTGTAAGTCACAATTTATATTTCAGTAGCCCTAATAACTGTGTCAATTAAATGTCCACTAGCAAGAATAATTTCAGCTAAGAGTATTTCTGTAATCTTCGCACTCATAATTATAAAGTACAAATATTAAGAATAATCACGAAATCACATGAATGCATAGTCCTGCATCATGTTGACATCTTGTGAAATTCTTCACCAGATAAATTCAGATCACGTTTCATACAAAATGCATAAATCTGACAGAGAAAAAATAACATTCATAGTGCTGTTTCAACTGCTTTTTTCAAGATGGTGTCAATAAGTGACAGCTAAAAAGAAAACCATTTAGTGATCAACGTTGATAGTGGAATGTTTGTTAAAGTTATTTTATTTCAATAAAATGGTATCTCAGTCAGTTTTAGCAATTAATTTAATTTCTTTTTGTGAATGTTTAGATGTGTTGACATTTTTGAAAGAATCCTCAGGTATTAAATGTAACAGTTTTTGCTGATGTCGTAACGACAGAAAAAAAGGGCCAGGGAACAGATTGTTTATTGAGAAAATCAACAGATATTTATCAATATTTATGCACATTATTATTCGTTGTTGTCAGCAGAGAGGTAACGTCTTCTGATTGGTTGTTTTCCTGCTAAAGGTTATTCTGTCATCTCTTTGTGGCCGTTTCTTTCAAGGTCAAACCATAAATCTGCTAATCGTATCCACCCACGCAAAGTCTGCTGTGATTGGTTGTTGAGTTAGTCTTTGTTCTTATTCTTTTCTCATGACCAAGATTTTGGACGCAAATATTGGCACATGTCAAGTGATCCACAACGGAAAACTCAGCAAAGCGTTTGGAGTAAACACAGGAGTCAGATAAGGGTGCTTATTATCACCAACGATGATATTCCTAATAGTAGTGGACTGGATTATGCGTCAGACAGTGGGAAACGAGAAGACAGGGATATCCTGGACTGACGTGAAGAACCTAGAAGACCTGGATTTCGCGCGTGGATGATTTAAGTTTGATGTCACACAAAATCGAAGACTCACAAGCGAAAACCGACAAACTGGTCGAAGAAGAAGGCAGTGAAGATAGGACTTCAGGTGAACATAGACAAGACGGAGGTTATGAAAATAACCAACCAACCAACAACAACAACAACAACAACAACAGCAGCAACATCCAGCTCCAATCACCATCAACGGGAGGGATTTGAAAGAGGTTACTTTATTCACTTACGTATCTAGGGAGCATTGTTTCAACTACAGGAGGAACGGACGAGGATGTCAAATGGAGAATCGGGAAGGCGAGAAACACATTCATCTACCTGATACCAATCTGGAAGTCTTCCTCACTCACTCAGCCTGCATCAACAACAAAATTCGGATTTTCAGTACAAACGTCAAGTCAGTTCTTCTATACGGATCAGAAACTTGATGGGTCACCAAGAATATTTCCAACAGCCTGTTGCAGACCTTTATCAACAGCTCTCTTCGTTCTATACTGAAGATCATATGGCCGGAAAGAATCACCAACAAGAAACTATGCGAAGAAACAAAACAAGAACTGATCGTCCAAAAATATACAGGAGAAAGTGGAGATGGATTGAACATTCAGTGAGCTGAGGAGGCCGCTGGGTGACATCGTGCGTCAGACCATAGCTCGAGTGGAACCCGAAAGGGAAGCGGCAAGTGGGACGTCGAAGGGTGACATGGAGGAGATCGTGTGAAGAGGAGTTGAAACAGTACGCATTAACATGGATGCAGGTTGAAAGTACAGCAGAAGACAGAAGCAAGTGTAGACGTGTTCCACTAGGAACCCAAGGGAACAATAATAATAATAGATATAAATTGCTGTCTACCAATTTTGGCTAGTAGACAGCCCTCATTAAAATGTGATTAACTGTCATCATCCTAATAGTAGATAGAATACAGGAGCTCCATAATTGTGTGAGGTTACTTCAGTCTCACATAGTTCACCTTTATCATTTTTGTCTCTGTCGCGTGTAATGAGGCGGTAGCAACACTATGCTGATATGGTACATTTTTGTCTGTTCTTTGTTGAGCATGTGCATTTGAAGGAGAAGTGAGGTGGGGTGGGGAATGGGAATGGATATTTGAGTTCCGAGGCACTGCTTGAATGGTGACATTTACCTATCAGAACTTGAAGACCATCGTTTCAATTTCTAGTGACAGAATAGGTGAATGGTACTGAGGAGTTATATACTCGGATGATGGAACTGTCCAATGGCACTTTAGTTTCCAGTCATTCATTCTCTGACTGATTTCTGTTCACAGTAATGACAAGAGTTATTGATAGTCAACGAATTCGACTATTCCACATGGATGTTTATCTTACTTTCTTTCCATTAAGTCAATATTTGAGCGTGTATTCGATAGCTGGGGAATACTTACAGTTGGATGAAATTGTACCAGCCGCTCTTCTTAGCGCTACCAACCATGAAAATGACGGAAAATCAATATTTGATACATTGACCTTGCTATGAATCCATTTACAAAACGTATTCGGGAATATTATCCAGTCTGGCTAGCAAAGACGGAATATGTATGTTTGTATTTACATCGCAGTACACATCGTTGAAAAATCCTTTATGATCTCATACAACATTCGGTCGGACCTCTCAAAATAAATGAGGTCAAGATATCTAGGTAATGAATGCTATCGAAAAAAATGCAGGCTAATAGTACGTATTCAGAAGAAGAAGTTGTGTCCAACTTACGTTTTCATAATGGCCATCATTAACGATCTGCTTTGTTAATAACAAAAAATTATTATTATCATCCAATTGTATGTTTTAACTGAAATTATTATTATTAATTATGGTTCCCTTGGGTTCCGAGTGGAACATAGGACTTGAAAACACATCGACACTTTGGTCTATTTCCTCCTTGTCCTCTCCAGCTGGGTCCACAACAGCCCATAATCTCTCATCTCTTCCTGGCACTATCTCCTGCGTGTCATCCTCACACTGACGATCCACTCGTCCCTTCCCATCGGGATTCCATTCTAGTGATGGCCTACATTGCTCGCGACGTCTTTCGACGCTTCCCTCAATATATGCCCTATCCACCCATCTCCATTTTCTCCTACATATTTGTTGAGCAATGGGTTAGTTTTTAGTTGGTTTGTTCCCAGCCAGAGGTTCTAGTTGCTAATTCTTTCTGACCAGGTAGCCATTCGGTCTTCAGTATGGAGCCAGCGAAGTTGGCAACAACTTGTTGGACATCCTTTTCATGACACGCAGTGCAAGTTTCTGACCCGTATAGAAGAAGATATTTCACATTTGTATAGAGAATCTGAATCTTATTCTTTATGCTGAGGCGGAGTGCCAAAGATTTCCAAACTGGTTTCAGGTTGATGAAGGTGTATCTTACCTTACCGATTCTGGCTGACTTTGACATCTCCATCCATTCCAACTGCCTGTAGTTGAAACGATGCTTACTAGATAAGTGAAGGAATTAACCACTTTCAAATTTCTCCCGTTAATGGTGATTTATTCTGGTTGTTGTCGTTTGTTGGTTGGTTGTCTTCATAACCTACATCTTCTCTATGTTCACCTGGAGTCCTGTCTCCACTACCTGCCAGACTCTTATGCTAGTTTGTGTGGCATTTGACATAAATCATTCACGCGCAAAATCCATATCTTCTCGAGTCTTCTTATCGGTGGTCCAGGGTATTCCTGTCTTCTCACTCCCAATGCTAGGTCTGATGCAAAATTCAGTCCACCACAGTTAGAAATATCTTCGGTTACAATAGGCAGCCAAGCTTATCCACTTCCTGTATTTACTTCAAAGGCTTCTCTGAGTTTCCCATTCTGGATCACCTGGTAAGTGAAATCGTCATATAGCTGTTTAGTGAGGTTGATAAATATTTTGGCAATGCACCACTGGAAGTCGATGAAGTAAGCTGAGGTACAGACTCGACTATCATTGTATGCTTTGTTCTGTGATGATGATGCATAGAGTTGCAATTTGATCAGTGCATGATTTGTCTTTCCTGAATCCAGCTTGTTCTGGTAGGTGGGATGGAGTTCTGTGTCCAGTGCATCTTTTATTCTCTACAGGATGATGCAACTGAGTATTTTACTTGACGTGGACAAGAGCATGATTCTACGCCAGTTCTTGAAGAGTGGGTCCTAACTAGGTCACCCTTCTTCGGTAGCTTGACATGGTAGCCAGTCTTTCTTCCAATCGGTAGGTGCCTTTCCTTCTTCCGAAATGTTTTGCGCAATGGCGTGAGCACATCTACCACAGTCTGTGAGTCGATTTTCAGTGCTTCGGGGGGGGGGATTCCGTCTGGCCCTGCGGCCTTCCCGGCAGGTGTTCAGTATCCTGGTAGCATTCAGGATTTGTGCTTTAGTTTAGAACTGTTTTTGATTCCTAATTCCTATTACATAACTTCATCTTGTCACTGGTTATATGTTGACCTCTAACTAGAAGTAGTTCTGTGAATCTCCCACTCCTTCGCTACTGTATTCATGAATTTAACAGCTTAGTTACTGATTTCATCGAAAAGAAACATTTTACTTTATTGCAGTGGTATATCATCAACTTGAAGTATCAATTCTATTATTTTTCATGTCGTACTCAGAACGATATTCCAGTTAAGATATTCTCAAGTAGTTTAGACTGACAGAAAGTTAATAATTTACACAGTACAGCTGTAACGACAGAAGGCAAGAGTCAGGCAACAGATCATTTATTAAGGAAATCAACGCATGTTTGTATAGGTTTTCATGTACATTACTATGGATATGTAAACAAACAAACACAGTCTTACGATTGGTTGTTTCTCACGACAAATCTCGGGAACGTAAATATTGACGTAAATTACTGTCTACCAATTTGGCTAGTAGACAGCTCTCACCACACAGCTATGTTAGTGTTATCTGAGCATAAATTAACCAGTTCTTTATAGAGGAGTCAATTGTCCTCAGTGGATTTACCGTCATCTTAGTCACCGGAGATTTCATTTGTGATGATACTGAGAAGAATAAAGTATAATGCTAACTGTTTACTATGAAGTTGCCTGGACTCCTAGTGAGGAATCACGACTAGCGGGATCTATCAACTCGAGTGTGAGGACAAATAGCCGCAAATGCCATCGACTGGAGCTATACATCGTAAGTTCGAGATGGCTGGCCATCAGATTCCATCCCAATGACTGAATGGTAAACAAGATCACATTGTGACCTGAGGGTCGTGAGTTCTATCCATAGTGGGAACATGTATGAATGCCGATGAAGAGTCTCAGACAGGCGCGAAACAACAGATCAGTGCTCTCTAGTTTCCAGTGGCTTTCTAACTAAAATCAAGTTGTGATCAAACTTAAAAATGGAAACATACTACTGATTATAAGTAGTTAGAAATTAACTAATGAAAAAATAGTAGTAATTACTAGTCAGACGAAATTGATTGAAACGCTGGACTACTATTTCTATTGTATCGAGGTACTCAGTAGACACACTGACACAGATAAGATATATCAACCAATAAAGGAAAATTTACGTAAATAAAGTGTCACCTATCAGGGGGACAGGAAGCGAACTCATCATGGATCGATAGGCGCTTAGAGAAATGAATTAGAATGTAGAACTGCTTGTACACTTGTATACCTTTGATGATTGGAGGTTGCAACGTGTATGACTATAAATCGACCTGGATTTTATTACATGAACACAGAAAAGATTAGACAGACTTCATTTCAATCTCAGGAAAGTGAGGATGCAGTCTACTGGACATAAAATTGAGAGCTGAAGCCTATATAGGGTGACATCTATCTGTCTAGTGCAAGGATTCTTCTAGATCCAATTGGAAGCCATCAGAGAAGTTGAAGATATACCATAATTAAAGTTCAACATCCGAAAACTGAAGAATACACCTATAGCTGACATCACAACAGCCATTCAGGAAAAAGGTCTGAGACATTAAACAATATTATCAAGGAAGCGTCAACAGGCGTACACTTCATTCGCCTAAACACAATCAATATTTAAATAATATAACAAATTATATTGTTACAAAAAACAAAATAATTTAGTAAAGAATATCCTTTTCGATAATTTTCTCCTCTTCTGACTCTACAATTATATATGCATCTTTATATACATAGAGTATTCTAGAATAGTAGTCAATAACAATATCGATGTGCTTTTTAAATAATATTAATTTGTTAGGCAAGATCCCGATGGAATTACAGTTCAATAAAGATGCTTAAATTATAATAAGCATATAAGCGTAACAGAAAATAGAATATCAACGAAAATTAAGGAAATTTCCCCAACAAATTGAGGATCATTAGAACCTAGATGGCCAGCAAGGTATGAACAATGTCTGAACCAACTTCTTTTGGATATATAAGTTGGGCTTCTCAATGCGTATCCCAATGGCCTCAGCAATATTTAGTAAACGAACTCTTAAGGTGAGGTTAAGATTTGTTGGCATGTGGTAAATGACTTTGCAAGCTGACTCGTTGACATCAATCTTTTGTTCTGTATCCACATGATGAGAAAGAACAGAGCTACGAATAGATTTTGTTTGTCCTTTACTTAACCACTCTTCACGGTGATGTTCGGAAATTCGACAATAAACACGCCTAAGTGTACGGTATATGTAACTGGCTCACTCCATAGGAGCAGTTAAATTGGTAGACACATATAGAAGTGGCGAAATCAGGCAGTTTATCTTTTATTCCCGAACGCAAAATAGGAGTGATTGGTTTTGAAGACACAGCATAATTCAGCAGCAAGGAATGCTCTTTTCACCGCATTCCTTCGGCATTGTGTCATTATTTCAATGATGTTATCCTCGAGGACCTGAATTTGTAAGAATACGGCCTTTTTCGACCTTATTATTGATTCTAACGAGGCAGCTTTCAAAGTCATCTACCGTATGCCAACTAATCTTAACTCTGCCTTAAGAGTTCGTCTAGTACATATTGCTAACGTTGTTGGGATCAACATTAAGAAGCCTAACTTATGTATCTAAATGAAGTTGGTTCACACACTATTCTTACTTACCTTGGCCATCTAGGTTGGAATGATCCTCAATTTTTTGTGGAATTTTCCTTAATTTTATTTGATATTCTATTTGCTATTACACTTTCATGCTTATTATAATTTAAGCATCTTTAATGAACTGTAATTCCATTGCGATCTTACTTTACAAATCGATATTATTTAAAAAGCACATCGATATTGTTATTGACTACTATTCTAGAATACTCTATGTATATAAACATGTATATATATATACTTGGGGGATGTGGACTTCGCCGATGATATATCTCTGATTTCCCACAAACTGGAAGATATGCAAGCGAAAAGCAACAAGTTGGCAGAAGAAGCATCCAGAGAAGATAGAAATTCAGGTGAACATCGAGAAAACAGAGGTGATGAAGATTCCTGGGCAACACCACCAACAGCAACAACAAAAACAACAGACAACAATCAGCCAGCATAAATGGGAGGAACCTGAAAGGAACAACCTCTTTTACCTACCTGGGAAGCATCGTTTCAACTACAGGCGGAGGGAACTGACGAGGATATCAAAGCAAGGATCAGAAAAGCAAGACACGCTTTCACTACTCTCAAGTCTGTGTGGAGGTCAACAACACTCACCATCAAAAATAAGTTCCGGATTTCAACTCCAATGTGAAGTCAGTCAGTGCTACTTTACGGATCAGAGACTTGCACTACGCGTCATAAAGAGCATCTCAAACAAACTATAGACCTTCATTAACGGTTGTCTTCGCTCAATACCACTCAAGATCAGATGGCCAACCAGAAAAGATCAGCAACAGAGATCTCTGGCAATGAGCGAACCAACTCAGCAGGAACCGATTGTGAAACAAATAGGCAAGAAGAAAAGGAGGTGGATTGGCTGGCCATACTCTGAGGAAACCATCAAGTGAGTGACATCACTAGACAAGCCATTGCTCGAGGGGAACCCGAAAGGGAAGCGGCGAGTTGGTCGTCAGTACAAGGGTGATTTGGAGTAGGTCATGTTAAGAGGAGATGAAGGTGTGTGGGCTGATTTGGAGCCAGGTGAAGCAAAGAACCGAAGGGAATGGAGACGCATGGCTGAAGCCCTATGTTCTTCTAGGAATTAAAGGAAACAATAATAATGATATATAATTGTAGAGTCAGAAGAGGAGGAAATTATCGAAAAGAATATTATTCGCTTAATTATATTGTGTGTTTTAGGGATGTCTGAATGAATATTTAAGCTACGATTAATCATATTTTTTGTTAACTTCAACTTACTTCTTCACTTTCTGAATCTTTTGATTTACTCATACGAGTTGAAGATTTTGTTGTCGGCGAGGATATCGACAAGGGAGTAGACATCCCGATTGGAATACGCATTATAATCATAATGAAAGCAATTGATAAACCCACCATATACGGTTGAACATATAATACAATTAATTCAAATAGAACCAATGCGATAAAGGATAGAAATGGTCGTTCCCAAGAGTATAATCTTTTAAATATTTGATGACCACGTTTAAAATCATCTATAAATGGTGTTAAACGATCAATATTACGTTGGATAAGCTGCATGAATAAATCAAAAGACAGAGAAGTCATGTAGAGAAATGCTGGTAATTGAATATTCTTTTGTGTTGTTGGCTTCAACGTCTATAAAGAGGTTGGGGGTGGGGGTTAGAGAATACATTCGAAAAAACAAGAGATAAATATACATATACACTTATAATAACTAAAACAAGGAATCCCATGGCACTGTTGGCTGTGATTGAATGCTGATTGAATGGTTGAATGATGGCATCATCCTTCTCAAGTTTTGTAAGGCTTAATATCGTGTGTAAAGACAGTGGGCTACAGCAGAACGTCTCCATTTCAATCTGTTCTCGTCAGTCTGTTTTTTCCACTGGTTCCACGACTGCCTGCAGGTTTTCAATTCTTGTTCATATGGTATCTTCCAATGCTATCCTCACTTCTTCATCCGGTTCCAATCGATGGCCTATCTCGTGTGGAATGTCACTAAATAATCTCCTCAGAGCTTATGCTCAGTGCGTCTTCATTTTTTCCCGATATTTTATTAAGCAATATGTTCTACGTTGATTCACTATATTAAAGGTTATTTTTTGTATTTCCCAATGAATGAAAAACAAAACGATATCGCTGTTTAATACTGCTGCTAATAGCTTTATCAAATTAGTGATATTAAACCAGAAGAATTTACAAAATCTCAGCTTATATATAACAACTTAATCGTCGATCCTCAGCATGCGGTCAATTTTGCGTTTTCAAATTGGCCAATTGGTAAAGATAACAAAATCAGGTGTAGATGACTGTTGGATTTGATAAGTGCATAGAATCATAAAAGTAGCGTGTTTACATAATGAAACTGCTTATCACATTCGTGTTAATTTTGTCATTTTATGGGGAGTGGTATAGGGTGTTTTAACCAGGTGAAGTTCTGTTCTAGTCCATCATTCCTATTCAGACAGTTTGGATTCCATTTGATGATATGAGATGTTCTTTTTGATTTCTGAAATGCTTTTTCTGGATGATGATTTCAATATTGTCAAAACCAATTTTGTGGCCTGATTCTATAGCGTGTAGGTCACCTATGGCTGGTGATTTTTCAAGCTTTTCTATTTCAACTGGATTTATTTCTCGGTGGTCGAACACAGATGCTCTAGGGTGTATACTGCATCACATTCAAAGCAAGCATTTTATTTTAATAGACACAATCAAATAGAGAATCTTTAGGGATTTGTTCTTCTATATGGACAAGGTTGCTTTGCAGTGTGCGTGTCTGATGTTTTGAAGAAAACTCTGATGTCGAGCTTATTGAGTACTCTTCTGATATCGTCTAACGTCTCTGCTCTATGTGGAATGACAACTGTTGAAGTCCAGGTTTTCGGAATACGTTTTCGACCATACTTAATGTCAGTGTTGGTTTTTTGTTGATGAAGTTGTCTGGGTAGTTATTTTTGCTTGAGATTCTCAGTAATGTTTCATATTTCTTCTTCCACTTTCTCTTTCTCATCCTTTAACATCAGAGAGTGTACTCACCTAAGAAGACTTGAAACAACTGATACCTTTGCACTGATGTGGTGTGATGATCCGAAGTCTAAATATTTGTTGTTGGAGTGGGTTTTCTTCCCGAATATAGATATACTAAAATGTCCATTTTCCCTCGTGTTAACTGGACAGGCAGTCTAGAAATGGTAGTTCACCAACATCTGATTGTGCTTCCGAAGTAAACTGGATTCTGGGAGATAGATTGTTCAATTTCTCCAAGAATGAACTGTGTAGATCTCGTTGATTTGTTGTCAGAATTCCATTATATAGTAATTTTTCTCGACAGCCAGCTCCATCCAATCTTCAGTGTTGCACAAAATTAGCTGTTGACTAGGGTCTGTAGCCCTTTTAGTAAGATCGGTATAGGTATAATGTTTGGAATATATATATATATATAATTTATGTATTAAAAATCAGACGACTGAAAGCTTACCGTTCAATAATGTTTCGTCCTTGTTGATACTCATCAGATAGGCTTATTTGTGATCACAGAATTTTGATATCTCTTTTACTAAATTCAATTTTAAACTCAAAACTATGTGTGAATAAATACTCTATATGAGTCAATCACTTAGATTGTGGACAATATAATCATGAGACCTTCAGATTTAACTGAAGTGTAAAGTTTTAAGTATTACTATTATTATTTCTTAGGGTTCCGAGTGGAACATAGGGCTTGAAAATCACATTGACACTTTCTTCTATTTTCTGACGGCCTATTTAGCTGGGCCTATAATAGCACATAATTTCTCATCTCCTCCTCACACGACCTCCTTCATGTCACCCGTGGACGATTCACTTGTCGTTTCCTATTAGGATTCCACTCGAGGGCCTGGTGCGCTATGTCACTCGACGGCCTCCTCAGTGTATGCAAAATCAATCTCTACTTTCTTCTATATTTTTTTGTTGAGTAAAAGGTTGTTGGTCGGTTTGTTCCCAGCCAGAGTTTCTTGTTGCTAATTCTTTCTGGCTGGCTCGCCATTCGATCTTCATTATAAAGCCAGCCAGCGAAGTGGGCAGCTGTTTATAAAAGTCTACAACCTGTTGGACATGCAGTGCAAGTTAGTGACCAATCTTTTTCTTTATGCTGAGAAGGAGTGCAGGAGATTTCCAAACTGGTTTCAGGTTGATGAAGGTGTAGCTTACCTTTCCAATACTCACAAGCTTTGACTTCTCCATCCGTCCTCCTGTGGTACGGACAATGCTCCCTAGATAAATGGAAGAGAGAACCTCTCTCAAATTTCTTCATCCCGTTGATGGTGATTGCTACTCGTTGTTGTTCATTACCTCCATCTTTTCCGTATTCACCTAGAGTCGTGTGTTCTCTGCCTGCCAGACTCTTATTCCAGTTTGTTAGTTTCCGCCTGCCTGCAAGTCATCTAGTTTGTGTGACACTTCACATAAATCATCCATGTGCGAAATCCAGATCTCCTCGAGTCTTCTTATCAGTGGTCCAGCGTATTCCTGTTTCCTCGCTCCACACACACGGTCTGACTGATAATCCAGTCCACCATAGTTATGAATAGGCAGCCAGCTTGTCTTACTGTTCTATTCACTTCACTCTCTCTGTTCAGTTTCCCGGCCGTGCTGTTGAGTGAGGTTGATAAATACTTAGGCACTGCATATCTTAGTGTTGGAGTTATTTCCAAATTACTTCTCGACCAATGCTGTCTGTCGAAGGCCTTTTCGAAGTAAATGAAGTTAGGGTTAAGTTTCAAGTGAATTGTGTTAATTAATCTATAAGAATAAGTTAAGTAATACATCCACTGACTATGCAATTCTCCTGTATCACTTTTTCTTTAGGACTTTTTTTCAATTCGTTTTTCGTTCTAAGTGGAAGACGAGGCTTCAAGCTTGACTTCTGAAGTCCCAATAGCAGTGGTGTTCGTTGGTTGGGTATGCTAGTCTTACACCCAACCTTTCCCTTTTATCAGGTTTACTGCTGGCGGTAATACGTTTTTGAATGAGTTGGCAGGGAAATGAGCTCAGATCATGTGCATGGTTGGAGAGCACTCTATCACTGAACCACGGCTGTGTGACTTATTGGGTATGTACTTGAAAAAAGTTCTCAATGAAGCGTAATTCCAAGGGATGGACAATCGTCACCCAATTCCTTTGCCACTCTAATCGTCCTAGCTTCGATCCCTGATGAATTTATGGATGTGTACCCTGAAAAGTTCAAAACTAGGAGAAACTTCCAATCCTTCTCCAATCGATATCAGTTCTTTTGTGTGACTTAAAATCAATCATATACCTGCAAACCAACCCTTCAGAAACAAGCGGGTGATCCGAATAGTAATGGTAAATGAATTTCTCACTTCTCAATTTTTTTCTTGCTTTTTGGAGTTAATTCATAATAACTGACTGATTCTTTGATCGATTAGTTAACGTATCAATCAAGGTGTGATGCAGTTAATTGAAACATTGAATGTTGAATAGACAAGGTCATTTTTGAGGGTCATTAGGCATCCAGTGAGGGTGAAGTTGTATTTTGTTGATATTCGATGGTTGGAGGCAGTCGATAACAGGAAGCTTTGATTGACCTAGGTTTCGTGCTAGTTATTGTCACTCACCAGTCTGCAAGCCATAGCTGCATCCTTGAAGGAACTGATGTCCCTAATTTATCTCATATCAACAATTCAAAGTATACCACGATGGCGAGCCACCAGAAGTCAGTCTGCACTAACACGAAGGACTAGACACATTACACTAGTTACTAACTAATGTCCAACCAACCCCGGTGGGTGCGTACTGCTGAAGGGCCAGTCCCAAACTAGGACGAAACAGCTGTCCAGTACTCCCTGTAGGTTTTCCAATAGTTGTCTCAAAACAATGTCAGCTCAAGATGAAATCCTGTAACCAATCAATCGAATCCCTACAAACCAATAGTTGGATATCAGTGAAGTTATGTTTCCCTTTGTCTCCAAATGACAAGGATTTTCATTATTCCTGTTGCTACTGACACAATCGATTTACAAGTGTTGTACACAGAGTGCGTTCTCCGTTGTTTACATACTAAGATCTGTTCCGTCTAAAGCAGCCATTATTGTTATTATTATCAATAAATGAAACGGTTTTGAATGTAACGTAGAGTGAATTTATTAATATAAATGCAAAATGCGCAAAGATTCAAATATATTAGCAACATCAACGCTGTTTGAGGTGTCAGTTGATCATATTCTAACACTGCAGTATTGTTATTATTATTGTTCCCTTGGGTTCCTAATGGAACATAGGGCTTCAACTACACGTCTACACTTGCTTCTGTCCATGTTAATCCATACTGTTTCAACTCTTCTTCACACAATCTCCTCCATGTCACTCTTGGACGTCCCACTCGCAGATTCCCTTTCGGGTTCCACTCGAGCGTTGGCCTGATGCGCTTCCTCAACGAGTGTCCAATCCATCTCCAATTTCTCCTGCATATTTGTTGAGCTATTGGTTCTTGTTTTGTTTGTTCCCATAGTTTCTTGTTGGTGATTCTTTCCGGCCATCTGATCTTCAGTATAGAGCCAGCGAAGACAGTTGTTGATATAGGTCTGCAACAGGCTGTTGGAAATATTCTTTGTGACACACTGGCCAAGTTTCTGATCCATCCGTATAGAAGAAGTGACTGACTTGACGTCGTTTGTATTGAAAATCCGAATCCATTTGTTGTTGATGCAGGCTGAGTGACGAAGTTTTCGAGATTGGTTTCAGGTTGATGAATGTGTTTCTCGCCTTCCCGATTCTCGATTTGACATCCTCGATTATTATATTAATAATAATAATTGATATTTTCCTTGAAGATATCGTACGAAGGGGGTAAATATCATGCAATAATCTCGTCTGAAAATTTTGTACATTTTATAAATGCCTTCCAGAATAATGATGCTAGTATCAAAAAAATCTGTTTGTGACCTTGACCTGTACACAATTTCACCTATATGGCAATAATTTATGGTCTTTTGCCGTCTATATAAAAATGTGTGTCATACGAGTCTTCGTGTGTATGATCAGAATGTCTGAAATGTGTTGCTCAAGTAGACATTACACCATTACACATTTCAGATAAACTATGTCTTGTTATTTATTGTGTTGCCGAAATTCATAAAGGGAAGTAACTGCTTTCAAGCTTATCTGCTGTGTTATACTCAATTATACTCAGTTCAGAGACCGGAATCACTTTGGAACATTCAAATTCTAGATGGTAATTCAGACATTTCCACATTTAATTAGATTTAATCCTAATGCATTCGAAGTGAAGAGGTTGGTAGGTAAAGTGCACTATAAATAATGATAGTAACGACAGTTATAATAGTAGTAATAATGGTGATAATAATAATATTAATTTTGACAGCGTTATTAGAAGACGGAGATTATCTGAAAAACGATGTGATGTGTATTTGCGCTATACATTTCGAACAATCTCATCACACATTTACTTGTCAAGTCGATATATATGGAAAAGTTAAATTAAACAAGGTGACAAAAAAAAAGGAATTAAGAATGATTAACACAAACATTTGATAATCCAATCAAATAAGGATTACCAAGGTAGGTTAAGAGTAATAACAAACTGTTTTTGAATACACAAGGGGGGCTTAAGTTTATGAATGGCTATAGCCTCAGCGTATTCCAGTAAACGTCCTTGACAGTTTTTATAGATCACCTTAAAAGCTGAGTTAACATCAACCTTATGGTTCATCTCGATTAGATGTTTAGCTATAGACGAAGTTGGTAGTCTAGCACCTGCATCTATTGGCATCTTTTGGAAGGAAAAGTAACTTCTCATTTGGTAAAACTTCGTGGCATGGAAGTTATCGATAAACAAAAGTTTGATTACTTGAAACCCATGGGATCTGGCTTTTCAAACCTCTATGGATTACCCAAAATTCATTAGGTTTTTAATCCATTACGTCCAATTCTTTCAATGTGTAACTCTCCTACACATAAATTAGCAAAATGGTTAGCTGATATTTTAAGTCTAGTACTCAGTGAATTATGTAAGTTTACTTTAAAAGATACATTTGAACTTGTTGATTGTCTTGTAGATATGAACATAAAAGATAGGAAAATGTATTCATTTGATGTTAATTCTTTGTTTACTATTGTACTATTGGTTAAGACTGTTGATATTCTTTGTGACTATATATCTTCTAGTTGTTTTTCATTTCCTTTTCCTTTAACTTATTTGAAAGATTTATTACTATTATGTACTGACAACGTCCATTTCACGTTTGAAGGTGAACATTTTAGACAAGTGGATGGCGTTGCTATGGGGAGTCCATTAGGACCTTTGTTAGCGGACGTTTATATGTCTTATGTTTGGAACTTGTCCCTTGATTTAATTTCTAAATTGTCCTTCTATAGGGGATATGTAGATGATATCATTTTGATATGTAACGATCATGAAAATGTGAGTCGTCTATTAGACAGACTTAACTCTGTACAAAATCATATTAGTCCCACATGCGAGGAAGAAAGTCGCAACCAGCTCGCATTTTTAGACATACTTCTGAGTCGAAGAGATGATGGCTCAATAAGACGGTCTATCTACAGAAAGCCCACTTGGACAGGGCAATATCTTAATTTTCACAGTTTTTGTGCATTGCAGTATAAGAGAGACTTGGTGAAGTGTCTATTTAAGAGGATTCAGCGTATTTGCACGGCTGATGTTATAGACAAGGAAAACGAAATATTGATGGATACTCTTGTTGAAAACGGATATCCTTTGAAGTTTTTAAACAGGTGTAGAAGTCAACTAGCCTCTAAACCTGCAATCCATACCATCCATAAGAAAAAGGTTTTCATCAAATTACCATATAATGGGGAAATTTATAAGTAGGATTTTGACACAAAGGTTGAATTCCATCATCCGTAGAACCTACTATGCAGCCCAGCTTGTAATTGTCGAAAAAGCTAAAAATATGCTTCACTGGAAACCTCAAAAGTGCACAAGTGATTTTATCACATCCCATACAATTTACCAATTTTCGTGTGTGTGTGGACATACATACATAGGGAGGAGTAATCGCGCGTTGCACGTGAGGGTGGGAGAGCATATCCCAAAGTGGTTGGGAAAACAGATGAATTGTGACAAGCCCATAGATGCAGGTGCTAGACTACCAACTTCGTCTATAGCTAAACATCTAATCGAGATGAACCATAAGGTTGATGTTAACTCAGCTTTTAAGGTGATCTATAAAAACTGTCAAGGACGTTTACTGGAATACGCTGAGGCTATAGCCATTCATAAACTTAAGCCCCCCTTGTGTATTCAAAAACAGTTTGTTATTACTCTTAACCTACCTTGGTAATCCTTATTTGATTGGATTATCAAATGTTTGTGTTAATCATTCTTAATTCCTTTTTTTTTTGTCACCTTGTTTAATTTAACTTTTCCATATATATCGACTTGACAAGTAAATGTGTGATGAGATTGTTCGAAATGTATAGCGCAAATACACATCACATCGTTTTTCAGATAATCTCCGTCTTCTAATAATGCTATCAAAAATGTATAAAAGGGACTAATTGTTTTAAATAATATTAATAATAAAAATAATGAAAACTGACTTACGGGTAAATGTTTCTTTGTTAAATCCTGTGAAGTAAAATTGTTAAAAATTAAATAATAATTTAATACAATGTTACAATCATTTGGTGATTTATGAAAAATTCACCCAACCCCTCCGCAACCCAGTTATTATTTCTTTCATCTGATAGGCAGTATACTACTGAATTATTTTCAGTAGTTTGTTTGTATATACTTAAATTTTTCAATAATGAAAATGAAAGGTTTTCTGAGTACTGCGATGGTCAGTACATTGTTTGTTCATGTTTCACTCTGTTGAACAATAGAATAATGAGGGAAAAGGGATTAAGCATGAAAGCATGAAAACGCATACATCTAATGAGATCATTGTTCAATGAAGATATAGAAAGCTAACCATAGAGAGTGTTGTAGTTATTGTCCGGCTTTACGTAGCTAGCTGGTGCGTAGGTGGTACACTGGTGGAGTGTCCACCAGCCAAACACATAATCTGGGTTTCAATTCCAAGACAACACACACACGCACACACATAGACCTCATCTAGTCGGCAGCGTATTGGGATAAGTACTAAGATTGGGCGTGAGACTAACTTGCCCAGTACATAAAACAAAACAGCACCAAAGCTACTCACCCTACATATCGCTCAGAACTCAAAGGAATCAGACAGTAGGCAGGCAGATAATAAAACTTAGCTCTAACCATATGTTGATACTCATGATACTCAATGAGACAATATTCTGTAAAGTTTTCCTAACTTCATTTTTCTCCTTATTCGTGTTTGTCAGCAATGGATCGGCTGTTAGAGATCGATATTGATGTTCAAACAATTTCAGCTTACAAAGTCTTATGCAAAAGAGTTGAATATAAGGCTACAAAATAAGCTAGGTTAAAGTTTATAAAAGAGTTCTAGTCGTTTGTAACTTCTAAATAACCTGAAGCGCAAGTTCGCGGACTTGAACAACTCTGTGGGCTTTGACTGGACACTAGTAACTAGTGCGATGTTTCTAGACCTTATTTTGGTGCAGACTGAATTCTGTCAGTCAGGTTTGCAATGTGACCACCATGCCACTAGGTAGCTCGCCATCACGGTGCACATTGATTTTGATAATATTAGATGGTTAGAGGCAATTGGCAGGAAGCCTTCGACCTAGGTTTCGTGGTAGTTAGCACTCGTCAGCAAGGCGTATCTGCAACCTTGAAGGAACTCATGTCCCTCCTTCTGAGATTCGAATTCAGTCTGCACCAAAGAAAGGACCAGACACATTACGCTAGTTACTGACTAGTGTCCAATCAAAGGTATCCAGTACAGTCCTATAGGAAGTCACTCGCGACCCCGAGAAGCTCAGTGGTAACGTCTCTGACCGCAGCACTATGTGACGTAGGTTCGAATCTCAGGTAGGATATGAGTTCCTTCAAGGCTGCAGATACGCTTTGCTGACTGGTTGAGTGCCAACTGGCAGGAAACCTAGGTCATCCAAGGCTTCCTGCCGATTGTTTCCAACACTGTCATAACTTCGTGTGCGTATATTGATTTGGTTGTAAAAAGCGGATGCAAGAACATTATTCTATGAGGTTATGAAGACGTGGAAATAAGGCTGTAAGAAGCACAATACAGCTACTCGCTTTAAAGTCATCTTCAAGGGGAAAAATAATCTGCCTAAATCAATACTTAGCCAGACGTTTTCGTATAAAAAACGTTTGTTTAACTACTTCTTCTCTGATGGTCTTTATCCGTCTATGCAAGACTATTATAGACCCTATTCCTACTATTATTATTGTTTCCCTAAGTTCCTAGAGAAACATAGGGCTTCAGCCGCATGTCTCCATTGCACTCCCTTCTCCACTAACCTTTTCACCTGCCCACACGCTTTCATCTCCTCTTCACAACACCTCATCCTCCATGTCACCTCACACTCGCACTGACGACCAACTCGCCGCTTCCCATTCGGGTTCCACTCGATAGAGAGTCTGGAGTGTGATGTCACTTGATGGTTTGTTTTTTCAGAATACGGCCAGTCCACCTCCATTTCTTCCTGCATATTTCTTGCACAATCGGTTCCTGCTGGGTTGGTTCGCTCATTACCAGAGATCTCTGTTGCTGATCTTTTCTGACCGGCCATCTGATCGTGAGTAGTATTACTCGAAGACAGCTGTTGATGAAGGTGTGAAGTTTGTTCAAAGTGCTCTTCATGACGCGCCAAGTCTGTGATCCATTAAAAAGAAACCCCAATACTTACTTTAACCCTAATGAGCTATTAACACATTGTCAAAAGAGTACTTAAAAACGTGATGATGATCTGGGTGAAATTTGCTGCTTAGCTGGTGAATAGCATTGATATTTCCCCTACAATAATGACAGGTGCTGATAGCCAATGACTAGCATGCGTTCAAGGTCATTGGAGCGTTCGCACCCCTTTGGACGCTATTGTTGAACTTCGCCCATTTAGCATTTAAGAAAAAGGTGAGGAAGCATTAAAACTGAGATATTGTATTATGGTTTTTACTTACTCGGAGTTTTACTTTAGAATCTTCGACATAATATCGTTTCTCTTTGGGATAAAGTGCACGAAGGGAGGCTTTAAGCTGTAAGAAAAATGGAAAAAAAGTAACATTTGAAAAGATGAAAAGAATCGATTAAAAAACCCAGTCATAAATAATCAATATACAATACTGATATTTATTTCAATATGACAGCTAATTTTGTAATCATTATCCTTTTTCCTCGGACCTGTATATCACTGTTCTGACGTTTGTACATTTCGTTTTGTAGTTGTTGTTGATGTTCCATTGGGTTCTCAGTGGTACATAAGGCTTCAACAGCAAATCTCCATGTTGTCCTATCCTTTGCGATCGTTTTCACTTGGCCCACGATTACCCAGAGTCTCTTACCTTCTCCCAATCGCAAAATTTCCATAATATTACTTTCAGACACATACCCAACTCGTCGTTTCCCATTCAGCTTCCACTCAACAAATGGCCAGCATTCAGTACAATGTCATTCAACGATCTTCAGTAATCTGGTGTTGGTTTTCAATGATTCTCTAACTGATATCAATCCGTGATCAAATCGTAGAAACAAAACTATCCCTTACAAACTGAACTATAGAAAATCAATCTGGTGCTCGCTAGTGACTTGCTACAGGATGGAGTTTCCTGGAGTTCTAGTGAGAAGTCGTGACCAGTGAAGTTCATCCAGATGTCACGTGTGAGGATGGATGTCACACCGACGACATTGGTTGGGGTTGCGCTAAATCACGGATTGGTAGAAGTTAGAATTCATGGGTGGACTAGTGAATTGGGTTCCAGTGGCTGAATGGTAAAGGAGCTTGCCTTGTAACCAGAAGGTTCTGGGTACTATTCCCTGTGGTTGGTGCTTACTACCAGTGATTCCCAAACTAGGATGGAACAGCAGCTGTCCAGTACTCCAGTGCTGGTTTTCAATGGTTCTCTAACTGATATCAATCCGTGATCGACTCGTAAAACAAAACTAACCCTTACAAACTAAACTATAGAAAAACAAGTATTTATATCAGATACATTTATCTAATGTAGAATTAAAGGTTTCTAAATCTAAACCACGTTGAAATAGAGTTGTAACAACAGAAGACAAGGGCCAGGCAACAGAACGTTTATTACGGAAAATCAACACATATTTATAGATTTTGATGTACATTATTGTAGGTTAATGTTAGTAGAAAATACAGTCTGTTGATTGGTTGTTTCTCACACAAAGTTAACCTTGCATCTCTTGTGGCTGTGTCAGTTCATCTATATGTTAACTGTATCCGCCTGTCCATCTTGACCTTTGACCTCAATTACTGTCAACCAATTTGGCTAGCAACCATCTCTCACCACAACATGACAAATATTTGATACATAAACACTGACCTCAACTACTGTCAACCAATTCGGCTAGTAGACAGCTCTCTTCACAGAGTAATTTTCTGCTCAAAAACACAAGAATTATTGCCTTATGATAACAGGTGCAACAAACACACATACATCTGGATTTTTTATTGTTGAATTTTTCAGGGTTACATTTCACTATCAATCTAGGAAACATTTTTAAGTGACACCTTATTAAGAAGTGATCGCATTGCATTTTTAATGAGTATCCTTTTACAATAACACCTCGATATATGCTGAAACTGTCTCTGAATAAAACATGAGGTTCGCAGATTAATTGTCGCAAAAAGTATTTCTCCTGAGCTGATTTCACTTTTTGACAGAGTCGAACTTGAAATCTGAACATAACATGTTCAATGAAACTTTATAAAAAGGTGAAAGAAATGAGAAAAATAAACGCTAATCCTATTTACAAATTAAAGAAACTCACTGGATTATATATAATGATAGTCTCCAAAAGGATAGAACCTTTAGCCAACGTTGTCAGCGATTTGTCTTTCAATGCATACCATTTTTGTCGACGATTTACAAGCTGTTATGACAGTTGATATATAAAAGATGGAAAATTAAAAATAAAAATAATGATAATAATTTTGAGACTTGATATTAGAAAGCTGGAGGACATTGACAAGGCACTTTGGACTCAGTTTTCGTGCTTGTTGACACTTTTCAGTCAGGGCCAAGTTAAACTTTAGACACCAATAACTACCAATCAGCGATGACGTCGAATTATCCAATGAGATTCACGAACGTGGTTCAATGTTGTATAGCGCTTGATTCATTTCAATGCGTGCCCTTACAAGGTTACGTTTGCAATTTGAGGAGGATAGTGTCTTTCAGTATTGCCTGAACTTAGGCTTGCTTCTAAAGGAGAGAAGTTGTTCGTGTGGTGATATAATGACTCTAAAAAGCTATACTAGGTCAACTGATGGTTTTTTACATCGTTGTGGAATATGCTGGAAGCGAGTTAGTATTGGAGGGTAATATTTCGTAGGAACTTTTTTGCTAGGTCGCATCTCTCCCTAACCCAGATTTTGTACATTTGCAATTACTGGGTACTGAAACAGCTCGTGAGAGCCGCTGCTGCCGAGATGGAGAGCAGGGGAAAGGCTATGATTCATTGTCATCCCTGGGATACATTCATCACAGTGTGAACCACTCCAGTGATTCCGTGGATCCTGTTACTGGGACTCATACGAATTCAATTGAAGGTTCTTGGGGGAGATTGAAAAATAGGATCCGGGCTATAAATGGATCGCAAAAGGATGTCATTTTTAGTCATTTGGACGAATATATGTACAGAATGTGGTGCGATTTTTCTTTTGAGAGTCCCATGTTGAATTGGGAGGTGTTTTTGTCCCATGTTCGAGAAAGATACTCCATGTAACGGTTTTATACTTTTTTCTATGCATTTTTGTACAAATATACGCTTCCACTTATCATAAACGCATCTTTAATGTGATTGGTCCGTTCAAGGTCGTTTGCTGATTGGTTGTTATTGGTGTCGAAAGTTTAACTTTGCCTCAGTCAGTAAGGCAAGCATCTGCAGACTTGAAAAAGTGAAAACCTTTGCAGATTTCAACACTTATCATTCAGTTCTATCCACTTTCTTCTGTTTTCTTCTGTCCCCTTTAGATGGGCCCACGATTGCAAATAATCTGTCATCTCCTCCTCACTACACGATCTCCTCCATGTCACACTCACACCGACAATCCAATCGTTGCTTCCCATTCAGATTCCACTCGAGAGATGGTCTGCGTTCACAACGATGTCTTTCGACAGTCTCCTCAACGTTTGCCCCACCCATCTCCATTTTCTTCTACATATCTGTTGAGCAAACAGCTCTCGGTTGGCTTATTGCAAACAGTTTCTTGTCACTTATTCTTTCTGGCCTATCTTTTGATCTTCAGTGTGGAGTCTGAGAAGTGGGAGGCTGTTGATAATAGTATACAGTGGCCTGATGTATATGCTTTCCGTGACACGCGCAGTACAAGTTTGTGACCCGTATAGAAGAACTGACTGACTTGACTTTTGTGATGAAAATCCGATTTTTGTTCTTTATACTGAGGTGGAGTGCCGAAAATATTTCCAAAATGATTTCACTGTGATGAAGGTGTAGCTTGCCTTTCCAATACTCACAAGCTTTGACTTCTCCGTCTGCTCCTCCTGTAGTTGTAACAATGCTCCTTAGATAAATCAAAGAAGTAACCTCTTTCAAATTTCTCCCGTTGATGGTGCTGGTTGTTGTTTGTTGGCTTGTTGGTTGGTTATCTTCATCACCTCCGTCTTCTCTATGTTCACCTGCAGTCCTGTTTTCGCTGCCTGCCAGACTCTTATTCCAGTTTGTTGGTTTTCGCCTGCCTGCAAGTCTTTGAGTTTGTATGACATTAGGCATATATCATCCACACACGAAATCAAGATCTTCTCGAGTCTTCTTATTGGTGGTCCAGCGTATTCCTGACTCCTCACTCCCTGTGCACAGTCTGGAGCATAATCCAGTCCACCACAATTAAGAATATCATCTGTGGTAATAGGCAGCCAGCTTGTCTTACTCCTGTATTCACTTCAAGCACCTCTCTGAGTTTACCATTGTGGATCACATGACACGTGGCATGCGGATCAAAGTATTATTATTTCCTGGATGATGACTGTGAGTGGAGTCCAGGATGTACATTTCATCTTATTTATTATATTATTATTATTGTTTCCTTTAATTCCTAGAGGAACATAGGGCTTCAGCCCTGCGTCTCCATTGAGTTCGGTTCTCTGCTAGAGTTTTCACCTGGCTCCAAGTCTGCCCACACGTTTTCATCTCCTCTTCACATGACCTCCTCCAAGTCACCCCACCCTCGCACTGACGACCAACTCGCCGCTTCCCTTCCACTCGAGTGATGGCCTGACATGTGATGTCACTTGATGGTTTCCTCAGAGTATGGCCAGCCAATCCATCGCCATCTCTTCCTGCCTATTTGTTACACAATCGGTTCCTCGTTGATTCGCTTATTGCCAGAGACCTCTCACTATTGTTGATTTTTTCTGGCCGGCCATCTGATCTTGAGTAGCATTGAGCGAAGACAACTGTTAATGAAGGTCTGTAGTTTGTTTGAGATGCTCTTTATGACGCGCAGTGCAAGTCTCTGATCCGTGTAGTGAGTAGCACTGACTTCACATTGGAGTTGAAAATCCGGATCTTATTCTCATTTTCATGCTGAGTGCTGTTGATCTCCACACAGACTTGAGAGTAGTGAAAGCTTGTCTTGCTTTTCCCATTCTTGCTTTGATATCCTCGTCAGTTCCGCCTGTAGTCGAAACGATGCTTCCTAGGTAGGTAAAAGAGGTTGTTTCTTTCAGATTCTTTCCATTTATGCTGATTGTTGTCTGTTGTTGTTCTTGTCCAGGAATCTTCATCAACTCTGTTTTTTCTATGTTCACCTGAAGTCCAATCTTTGATGCTTCGTCTGCCAACTTGTTGCTTTTCGCTTGCATATCTTCCAGTTTGTTGGAAATCAGACATACATATCGTCGGCGAAGTCCAGATCCTCCAGGTTTTTTGTGTGAGTCCATTTTATACCTGTTTCCTCATTGCCCACTATTTGTCGCATTATCCAGTCTACTGCAATCAGTAAAATCATTGGTGATAGTAGTCAGCCTTGTCTTACTCCTGTCCTCACTTGGAAGGATTCTGTAAGTTTCCTGTTGTGGATTACTTGGCGGCCTGCAGCATTGTCGTACAGCTGTTGGATGAGATGTATAATTGTCGGTGGCACCCCATAGTAGCGTAGTAGTTTCATCTTATTTAAGACTCGTCAATCAGATGTACTTGGAATTCCTAATGACTGGTGGTGTTACCACTGAGACTCGAACTCAAAACCCATTTTTTTAAAAATGTCAACGCTGACCGAACACATATATTCAATCATTTGGAAATGGAAAATTCACCTTTACAGATAATTACTGATACTCAGTAAACACAGGAAGTAACTCTCATGGTCCAAACGGCCGGGTAGATAACGCGCATCTCGAATTCCTTTGCTAGTCGCCATTCCCTTAACACCATCTTTCTAGCTTGTCTCAGGCAGGAGAGTCTATGATTCTGGTAGAAAACTTTGCCGTTGTTACGCTTTGACTTGTATGCAATCCCACAGTGGAATGATACGAAATAATGCTATTACAATACACAGACTTATATATTTGGTTGGAGAGGGAGCCTTATGAACACCTTGCAATGATTATGAGTAATAAATTGTACTCAAAATATTGTCTAACTGTTAATACCTTAACAGTGTATAATATATATATGATTTGAAATAAATTATATCCGATGAAGGAATTAGATCAAAGGTGTGTGAATACATGAAATAATAATAGTAGTATGAAATGCGTTGACTCAGAACTTGGCTTCCTCAAAGCCACACTCGTAGAAAACGGTTACCCGAACCGATTTATTGTCAGTAACCCGAAAGATAAGCAGTCTAAATTGGTTACCGACTCAGTTCAAAAGAAAACCTTATTCATGAAATTGGAATTCACAGGTGATCAAGCTTCAGATATGCTCAAAAAACGTCTCTCTAAATCCGTCAGTAAGACGTTCTTCGCAGCAAAATTGCAAATGGCGTTCACCACTCGCAAGTTGTTATCCACCTATGTAAAAGATAAGCTCCCCCGTCTGTTCGCCTCCATGTGCATCTATCAGTTCACCCGCTACTCTTGTGGAGGAAATTAAATTGGCCGTAGCCGGAGGACGCTTTCCACACGGATACGAGAACAAATTCCAGCATGGATTTACAAGGGGGAAAGAAATCGTGTGCGAAGCTCTATTCTATTCGGCTTTCGACTCTGTACCTAGATGTCTCTTGCTACATAAGCTCTCTGTGACAAAAATTGAGTCCTGGGTCACTAACTGGCTGCATTCCTACTTCTCTAACAGAAAGCAGTACACCGTATACAAAGGTAAATCCTCCTCTGCTGTACTCACTGAACCCGGTGTCCCCCAAAGAGCTGTACTCTCCCCACTTCTCTTTTCTTTCTTTCTTGCTACATGACTTAACATCTTCAAATGACATTAATTTTGTCAAATATGGCTTTCTGTCAGAAATCAGCCAATGGTCTAAGGAAAATGGTCTTACCTTAAACCCCTCCAAATGCCAAACAGTCAATTTCACCCTAAGGCATAAATCCCACCTACAAAAACTGGTTGGCCTTCACGAGGTATGCAACATAGACGGCACTGAAATAGACACCAAGTCAGAAATTAAATATCTGGGCGTCATTCTATCTGTTGATCTCTCCTGGTCGCCTCATATCTTAGCAATTTCTAAGAAAATATTCCGTCTTACCTTCTACATTAAGAAGTTAAAACATTCTGGTATAACTCAACCCTTACTCCTACAATTCGTTAACTCTCGCATTCTGCCTATTATTCTCTATTGTTCCCCCTTAGTTTTTCCAGGGCTACTGAAGAAAGACTATACCTTATTACGCAGGATGTTAAATGTTGTCAGCAGGGTAAGCAATGTGCCACTTAACCAGCTTGTTAATATTCTGTTTGACAGACACATGGACTCATGTGAAAAATGGGCCGAATCCATTTTATCTAACTCACACCACCCTCTTCACTCACAACTCTCCCCTTGCATCTCATCAGGCAAAACCAGAAGCCAATATAGAAAACTATATGCTCGCACCAGCAAGTACAAAATCTCAACCATACCTTACTTAGCTCGTGTTCTGTGTGATAAAGAAAGCATTAGGCGTGACACCTATAATTCATTAAATAGTCAGTAGTACAACTGGATCTCGTCTTTCCAACTAATATCATTTATAGGTACAACATTTTCTTTCTTTCTTTTCCTATTCTCTCTCCTTCTTCTTTTTCTCCGTTATGTGCTACTTTGTTTCGTTCTCTCGCTTATGAAAGCACCTACTTTTATAACACCTTCAAACACTGTTCAATTTTGTCTTTGCTACTGACATGCCAATATGTTGTTCTCATGATGAACTGAGATTTCCTTAATCTATGTAGAATTCTATCTATTGGTAATGTACTAACTGGATGCAATACTGTAGTAAAAATGCTGAGAATTCCATTCTGTATCACATTTACTGTTTTTGGAATAAAGCAAATTATTATTACAAAATCAATACTTGATAGTATGGAATGCTCTGTATGTATGTGTGTGTATATAGACAACTCACTTGTATAAGAGGGAATGAAATACGACCGGTTATTTCTGATGTCTCTTTGCCTTCCTCATATATGTATATCTCGAGGATAGAATACATATCTGAAATAGGACTTAAACCAAAAGAGAGGAAAAAAAATAGTAATAGAATTAGACACTATAAAGGTATATAGAAAATATGAATAACCAATTTCGAATCACGGTGTTAGGAAGACAGTTGGAATACTTAATATCGACTGTCCATTAGATAACCTAAGGTAGTCTTGATGTGATAAATTGGGTTAGCTAAAAATGGGTGGTGTTTAAGACGAAAAGAAGCCTTATTTCACCGCACTACTTGATTCTCTGTAGACCTTTTTAATCCAGAACATCAGAAATGGCCTAAGTGCTTTTAGTTCAACCACTTCTCATGTTGTCGACTGAAAAGAGAAGATTTCGTTGATTGGATTAGTGCATAGTTGTTGATGACTAACAGACGAAAAAATCTGCCAGTGATTAATGACAGTAACCACGGAAAAAATTACCCACCTGTTTGATCTTGTCTTTCACTTTTTTAGTGGTAAGAAGTTAATAACTGAAGGCTGCAGTTTTCAGATGGTAATATTATTTCACTTTTGTTCAACTCACTAACTGTTACTCGCACTGACTGATTTAAGATTACTTCTAATTGCTCATATAGCTGTACGACAACGGCACATGTCAAGTGATCCACAATGGAAAACTCAGCGAGACGTTTGGAGTAAACACAGGAGTCAGACAAGGGTGCTTATTATCACCAATGATACTCCTAATTGTGGTGGACTGGATTATGCGTCAGACAGTGGGAAACGAGAAGACACGAATATCCTGGGCCGACATGAAGAATCTAGAAGATCTGGATTTCGCGCGTGGATGATTTGTGTTTGATGTCACACAAAATCAAAGACTTACAAGCGAAAACCGACAAACTGGTCGAAGAAGCAGGCAGTGAAGACAGGACTCCAGGTGAACATAGACAAGACGGAGATTATGAAAATAACCAACCAACAATAACATTAAAAACAGCAACATCCACCGCCAATCACCATCAACGGGAGGGATTTGAAAGAGGTTACTTCATTCACTTACTTATCTAGGGAGCATTGTCTCAACTACAGGAGGAACGGACGAGGATGTCTAATCATCAGCCTGAAACCAATCTGGAAATCTTCGGCACTCAGCATGAACAACAAATTCGGATTTTCAGTACAAACGTCAAGTCAGTCACTTCTTCTATACGGATGGATCAGAAACTTGGCCAGTGTGTCACAAAGAATATTTCCAACAGCCTGTTGCAGACGTTTATCAACAACTAACTCTCTTCGTTCTATACTGAAGGTTATTTGGCCGGAAAGAATCACCAAGAAGAAACTATTGGAACAAACAAAACAAGAAGCAATCGCTCAACAAATATGCAGGAGAAAGTGGAGATGGATTGGACACTCGGTGAGCTGAGGAGACCGCTGGGTGACATCGCGCGTCAGGCCATAGCTCGAGTGGAACCCAAAAAGGAAGTGGCGAGTGGGACTTCCGAGAGTGACATGGAGGAGATCATGTGAAGAGGAGTTGAAACAGTACGGATTAACATGGACGCAAGTGAAAATTACAGCAGAAGACAGAAGCAAGTGGAGACGTGTAGTTGAAGCCCTATGTTCCACTAGGAACCCAAGAGAACACTAAATAAAATAAATAATCTAATTACTAGATTCTCTAATTCTCTCCCAATCTTACGAAGAATAACCGCTTTCGTGTCATCAGTAACTGGTTGTTGCTATCAAATATTTCACTCATTGTTATATGTCTTATTCTATGATTCTCATGCCAAACTTCTGCTGTGCACAGTAAAAGAATGCAATGGACTGCATCGTAGAACAGACTGTGGAGAGCAAGAAGACAGGGAGGCGTTGGATCGATGAGAAGACTTTAGAAAACCCGGACTTCTTAGATGATTTATGCTTAATGTCACACAAACTCGAATATGTATAGGCGAAGGTCAATAAAGTGGCGGATGTGGCAGCTAAGACAGTGCCTCAAATGAGTGCAGAGAAGATGTTAGGTGATGGAGAAAACCAACCAACAACCAGGACCAATCACTTTCAAAAGGAGAAATTTGAAAAGGTGTTATCGTTTTCACTTATTTAGTGGGGGGGGGTGGCATTATTTCAGCTACAGTCGTCAGAGACTGAGAAGTCGAAGATGCAGCAAAGGCATTCATTATTCTGAAATCAGCCTGGAAATTTGCTGTATTAAGCGTAAACAGCAGGACTAGGATTTCGAACATCGCTGCTGTATGTTTCATAGGCTTGACACGTTAATAAAAGCATTACCAAATGCAGCTGTGGACTTTCATCAACAGCTGGCTTTACCCAATACTGAAGATCAGATGGCTGGTCGACCAGCACGGATAAGCAACAAGGAACCCACTGTCCAACAAATATGCCGAAGCAAATAGAGATGGATCAAACACACGCTGAGAAAACCGTTGCATGACGTGATGCTCCAGGTCCTTCAATGGAACCTGAATGGGTTTATGGGTAGTTAGTTGAAGAGCAATTCAGAGGGTAGAATGAAATGGCGGTGTGCCATTGAAGCCTTGTGTCTCACTCAGAACATAAGAGAATAAAGAAGCATCAGAATAAATGAAATGTGCTCATTTCTTACTGTAGATTTTGTTCTCTACCGCTTTGATGAAGGTAACCATGGGAACACGTAGTATAAATTGATTTTATATTGTGGAGATGTATAAGTGTATAATGTATTACATCGAATAAAGTCACCCTTAGTTGTGTTCACTGAGCTGGTTAGTTTAATTGCGAAGCTTCCGTCGTCCTTCTGTACAATATCTTCAGCGCAAGTTTTAGCTGTTTAGCTAAGTTCGTTCCCGTCTATCAAAGAACTTGCTCTTTGGTGGAATCAAAAATCGAAAGATATCCTTCTCATGTTAACTCCAACTGTATATACAAATTTACATGTATCTGCGGGAGCAGTTACATTGGAAGAACAGAAAGAAGGGCATACATTCGATTTTCTGAACATGTACCAAAAAGCCTGTGTCTAATGAGAACAAATGCTTTAAACAGTGCCATTGCCAGGCATCTCCTTGACACGGGTCATGAGTTGGACGTCGTAAGATCTTTCAAAATTATCAGTAGGCAAAAGAGTTCAATTCTCCTTAAGTTTACCGAAGCGATCTCCAACAAGTGCCTGAAACCAGATTTATGCGTTCAGAAAGAAACGGTTATCAGTCTTTTCTTGCTCATCCTGGAAACTGGATGTTTTCATCCTCTCTTTCGTCTGATTATGTAATGTCGAAAGTTTCCATTGTGTATGATCATTATTGTTCGGAATAGTGTTTCATATTATTATATATATTATTACTGTATGCATATATTGATTGATTTTTGTTTAAAAATGAACTCTGTTCAAGTATATTAAAATTGTTTCTGCAGGTATACTTAATAATGTCTTTGTCCTGTAAGCAGCTGATGAGAGACCAACGAAATAAACAATAATGGCACCATTTTATTCTGCATAAACTGTTGTCGTTCTTGCTTTATTCAAATTCATTAAATGTATGATAATTGTGTCTCATGGTAACCATCTTCGTGACCAGTAGTCGATTTAAGTCTCAACTGATCATTTTTTATTGACTTGGAATTTGAAAGTTTTGTCATGTGATGATTTACTTTTTATTAGTTGGTAAATTTGGTCTATATTAATATTTGAATAAGGCATTAAGAAGACAAATTTCGTGGGATGATATCATTTCGTAGTTTCTTAAAAACCACTTTACAACTAAAATGGTTAACAATGAGTTTCGAAATATACATTCAGTTTTATTAGCTAACGGTTATCCAGAAAACTTTATCAATTGTCACAGTAAGGATAGACTACATCTCGAAAAGACGGCTTCTGTACTAAAGAAAGCTATCTTTATTAACCTACCATTCAAGGGTGACCAGATTATGCAGTTGACAGCTCAGAGACTTCGGTCAGGCATCAAACACACATTCTACGCCGCATCTCTTTTTCTTACTTGCCGAACATTTTCGATCCCTGTACCTACGATTAAAGGACGAAATTCTGTGGAATCTACTTAAAACTGTATCTAAAAGTTCCCATGAGGTGATACTTATATAGGCAGAACCAATAGAAGGTTCCCATGTCGTCAGAAAGAACATGTTCCGAAATGGCTACTAAATCATACAGAAAATCCCAACGCGACTAACCTGAATAGAAATTCAGCATCATCCATTGCAAAACACTTATTAATATGAGGTCACAAAATCAATATGAATGACAGTTTCACAATTATTTCATCGCATAACTCTAATTCAAGGTTGGTTATTAAAGTGATGGAAGCAGTTTTGCGGATTAATCACATACATCCTAAACTGTGTGTACAAAAAACAATAGACTTCAACCTTTGCTTACCATGGACTACTTGACCTATTTAAATATGATTGGTCATTGGTATTTACTTTTGTTTTTTTTATATAACTGAGTAATTGTTACGAACTTTATTTTATTGTTGTTAACCGTGTTAGTTGTAAAGCGGTTGCAAAGAAACTACGAAACGAAGATATCATCTCACGAAATTTATCTTCTAAACGCTCCTGTTCAAATTTATCAAAGGGACTAATTGTTTTAACTATATCAATATGTTTGTTAATCACTGATTCTCATGAGTACCAGGCATCTGGAAATACCCTGGCACCTTTAGTGTTTCCTCTACTTAAAATTTGGACTTTATCCCAGTCTTCAAATTGGTGTCCATCATTATCTACATGCCTTGATATGAAAGAAGGATGAAGAAAGCTTCGTAGTTAAACCAACCAGCTTAGAGATCAAAACTAATTGCAAAGCTACCCTTATTTTTGATTGGAATCTGGTCAGTAACTAGTGTAATGTGTGTGCGTGTGTGTCTAGTCCTATCTTTGGTGCAGACTGAATTCTATCAGTCAAGTTCACAATGTAGCCACTATGCCACTAGGTAGCTCGCCATCACGATGCACTGAGAATTGTTGGTGTAAAATAGTTGGAGACAGTCGTCAGGGATATAAGTTCCTTCACGGTTGCAGATACGCATTACTGATGAGTGTCAGCTATCACGAAATCTAGGTAAATAAAGACTCCCTACCGATCGCCTCCAACCATCTAATACCAAAGTCATCCCTAGACTTAGTGAAACAGTTAATCCCTTTGATAAATTTAAGCAAGGGCGTTTAGAAGACAATTTTCGCGAGATGATATCTTCATTTCGTAGTTTCTTTACAACCAACATGGTTAACATTAATAAAATAAAGATCATGACAATTACTCAGTTAAATAAAAAAACAAAAGTACATACTAATGACCAATCATATCTAAATAGGTCAAGTAGTCAGTTCATGGTAGGCTAAGGTTCAAGTCTATTTTTTACTGTACACATAGTTTAGGATGTGTGTGATTAATCTCCAAAAGTGCTTCCATCACCTTTAATAAACAACTTTGAATTAGAATTAGGTGATCACGCATTGATATCAGTCAGAGAACCGTTGAAAACCAGGGAGTACTGGACAGCTGCTGTTTCATCCTAGTTTGGGAATCATCGGCAGTGCGCACCAACTGGGGTTCGAACCTAGGCCCTTCCGGTTACAAAGTAAGCTCGAATGCCTTTCATTCACTCATAAAAACAAAACCAATCCTTACAAACCAAACTATAGAAAATTAATCTGATGCTCGCTAGTGACTTGCTACAGGATGGAGTTTCCTGGAGTTCTAGTGAGAAGTCGTGACCAGTAAGGTCCATCCAGATGTCACGTGTGAGGATGAATGTCCCACCTACGACAATGGTTGGGGTTGCGCTAAATCACGAATTGTTAGTAGGTAGAATTCATGGGCTGGCCATTGAATCGGGTCACAGTGGCTGAATGGTTTACGGAAGGTCCTGGGTTCGAACCTCGTGTGGTGGGCGCGTAGTGCGAATGATTTCCAAACTAGGATGAAACAGCTGTCCAGTACTCCAGTGCTGATTTTCAATGGTTCTCTAACTGATATCAATCCGTGATCAACTCGTAAAAATAAAACTAACCCTTACAAACCAAACTATAGAAGATGTACTAATTGTGAAACAGTCATTATTATTGATTTTGTGACCTGATATTAATAAGTGTTTTGCAGTGGGTAGTTGTGGATTTCTACTCAGATTAATGGCGTTGGGACATACTGTGTTTTAATAACTATTTTGGGACATGTTCTCTTCGACGACAATGGAACTTTCTATTGGTTCTGCCTTTATACGTGTCACCGCAGCTTCAGGTGAACTTGTAGATACAGTTTTAAGTAGAGTCCACGGAATTTCGCCCTTTAGTCGTAGGTATAGGGATCGAAAATCTTAAAGATGTGAGGGAAAGAGATGCCGTGTAGAATGTGCATTTGATGGTTGACCAAAGTTTTTGAGCTGTCAACTGCATAATCTGGTCACCCTTGAATGGTAGGTTAATAAAGATAGCTTTCTTTGGTACCAAAGCTGTCTTTTCGAGATGTGGTCTATCCTTTTGATAACATTTAATAAAGTTTTCTGGATAACCATTAGCTAATAAAACTAAATGTATATTCATTATAATTATTTAAATTAATCCCAGCGAGTTAAGAAAATCAAATTAAGGTTCTTCTGAACGTTTCGCTGTGGAAGCCGCAGCTTCTTCATCAGATTTATTCATCATCGAAATATATAGTCAAAAATTTCTACACAAATAATACTGTTTTTACATAATAATACTACTAGCATTAAATAGCGAAACGTCAGTTAAAACAATATCGTTTTGTTTTTCATTCATTGGGAAATACAAAAACCTTTATTATAATAAATCGAAGTTAGTTTAATTGAAGGTCATTTGTCCATGGATATTTTTGCCAATAGAAAATATGTAAACAGTTATCACATATATTTGTAATGACTAATGTCAAATTGTTGTTGTGTTCACTCTTCCTTAGTTAATTTGTACAGATTAGTGTGTGTGTATATGTATGTTATTTGTCATATGGAAAATACGTGAATTCATATGTGATAAACGTGATACTACATGTTTTAGTAGGTCATGGAGGCTCATTGAGTGTTTGTTGTTTTTTCATCTGTCTTGCTTCATAAGAGCGTGCCATATAGGTGATAAGTCTATCCCTTCTCTCCTGCATTTACTGCATTCAATGTGGTTAAAATGTGCCAGGCTTCAGAAGTCAATCTTTCTTTATGTGATTGAATTCCTCTCCGAAGAATTTCAACATTATCGAAATCAATCTTATGTTCGGTGTCTATCGCATGCATTGCTATAGCCGATCTTTTTTCTAGACTTTTTAATTCTACTTCATTTCTAGGTGGACGTTTCGTGACTATATATTTTGATGATTAATAAAAATCCGAATAAATCTGCTGAAGAATCTGTGGCAGCTTACACAGCGAAACGTTCAGAAAACGGATCTTGTATTGATTTTCTCTTAGACACTCTGGGATTAATTTAAATAATTTATAATGAATCAATCTGACTTGGCCCTCAAATTATTCCAGGAAGTTCGTAACACCTGCGGTCTGGAAACTTATAATCTGAATGTATATGTCGAAGCTCATCCATCAATATGACTATCGTACACATTTTTTGAGTCCTTGAGAACAAGCTTTGGATGAATCACACACAGCCTAAACTGTGTGTACAAAAAACAATAAACTTCAACCTTCGCCTACCCTGGACTACTTGACCTATCTAAATATGATTGGTCATTAGTATGTACTTTTGTTTTTTGTATAACTGAGTAATTGTCATGAACTTTATTTTATTATTGTTAACCATGTTAGTTGTAAAGCGATTGTAAAGAAACTACGAAATGACGATATCAACTCGCGAAATTTGTCTTCTAAATGTCTTTATTCGAAAGATATTGAAGCAGAATAATGTCGTATTCAGTATTCAGATGAGGTGTCTGTATCCTCATACCTGGCATCCATTGATCCAATCGACCACGTCGAACATTTTATCACTGAACCTACTTCTTAGTACTCTTAGCGCTGACATCTTCATGAAATCTCAGAGAAATCCAATGAGTCTCCTAAGACATTACCAGTCTTACCTGTTATATCAATCAATTAAAAAAAGTTCGTTATTATAATAGAAAAGGGTTCCACTTACAATACAAATGCTTGATTCCATATAGGATAAGCATTCTTTGGCGCTGTAAATGTGCGTACAACACGATTAACCAGACGTATCTCACAAAATGCATTAGATTTACCACTACGATCTTTTGCTGGTAGATTAGTTGCTCTATGTACTGTAAAGAAAACAAACATGAAAAAATTTCAGATTAATAAAGAAGTTCTGATGCTTCGTCCTATTTTGAGATTATAACACCTCCCCAGTACACTCCCTGGTTTTCAGGAGTTATCTTGACGATGCCAGCTCATGATCTGACCCAGAAAACAACTGGTAACAGGATGAAGTTGCTTGTGATTAGTTCTAGCGGGAAATCGTCTGAAAGTCAGGTGTAAGGACAAGTGCTTGTGGATAACATTGGCTAACAGTGGCTATACAACTCTATCCTGGTGACTGAATGATCCGGCCGTGGGTGGGGAAGGGTTATTTGGTCACTACTTGAAGGACCATGTGTTTGATCCCCAGTGGGTTGTCAGTTTCTTCTATTGAAGTGCCTCAAATCAGGACGAATCAGGTCGGTAGGTGTCTAGTAACCTCGAGGTTTCAATGATTCTCCAAATCATTCCTACTAACCAACGACTGGAGACTTTGAATGTGTCTAGTTAAATTTAGATTCTTTAAAGACACTCAGTGAAACAGTGAACATTGAGATTTCTTATTTTAATACACTCCTGAATCAAGAAGTGAAGAAACAAAATTAATAAATTAAGCAAAAGTTCCAATAATCTCAAATTGAGTCAATATTTTATAGAAGAATACTACTACCCAGGTTGTAGTAAGTAAGCGTTTCACCTTAATATAGGATTGACCTACAGATCTTTAATTTATTTTTACATGACAATATCCTGTTTCAAAGATTTTCATTAAGTGAATTTTTAAAGTGTATATGCGTGTAATGCTTGAACTCTATTATTATTATTAATATTTCCTTTAATTCCTAGAGGAACATAGGGCTTCAGCCGTGCGTCTCCATTCCGTTTGGTTCTCTGATAGAGTTTTCATCTGGCTCCAAGTCTGTCCATATGCTTTCATCTCCTCTTCACATGACCTCCTCCAAGTCACCCTTGGATGACCAACTCGCGGCTTCCCTTTTCGGTTCCACTCGAGAGATGTCCTGGCGTGTGATGACACTTGATGGTTTCCTCAGAGCATGGCCAATCCACCTCTATTTCTTCCTGATTATTTGTTGCACAATCGGTTCCTGGTTGGTTTGCCCCCACAGGTCCCGATTGCTGATCTTTTCTGGCCATCTGATCTTGAGTATTGAGCGAAGACAACTGTTAATAAAGGTCTGTAGTTTGTTTGAGATGCTCTGTATGACGCGCGGTGCAAGTCTCTGATCCGTATAGTGAATAGCACTGACTGACTTCACATTGGAGTTGAAAATCCGGATCTTATTCTCATTTTCATGCTGAGTGCTGTTGACCTTCACACAGATTTGAGAGTAATGAAAGCTTGTCTTGCTTCCCCGATCCTTGCTTTGATTTCCTCGTCAGTTTCGCTGAACTCTATCGTAGTGTGTAATTCGACACTAGTTACTAACTACTGTCCAATCAAAGTATCCACTGTAGTCTCACAGGAAGTCAATCGGTAGCCCGAATAGCTCAGTGGTAACATCTCTGACTGCAGTACTAACTGGGTGACGCCCAGTTTGAATCTCAGGAGGGATATGAGATTTTTTAAGGTTGTTGAGACACTCCGTGCTGATTGGTGAGTGCCAGTCAGCATGAAACCTCAGCTGTAGGTTTCCTACCGCTTGCCTCCAACCAACTGATTGCAATAGTAGTCCTGAACTCTGCATACAAAAGAAGTCAGTTCAATCACTACACTTGCAATGGACTTAATCTATCTTAATACCCGACAAGTAAATTATATTTCTTTCTTTCTTTCTGTCTCTTCATTAGTATCATTTTGTCTTTACAATTGTAATATTTTACATTTTCAACTTTCCTGTCCTCATGAAAAGATCATCGACTACTGGAGAAAATGGTGAGCCCATAATATTACAACTTCGATAAAGCTGTTAGCAGCATTAAATTGGGAAACGTCAATAAGAGCAGCAATATCGTTTTGTTTTTCACTCATCAAGAAATACAAAAAAGAACCTTTATTATAATGAATATCATATACCCAATGCACAATTTTTTTGAAACTGTTAAAATGGAACTTGGTTTCGACATATATAACACTGAATATGATCTCTAGATTGATATCAAATTCCCAGGAGATGAAAATACCAATATCAGTCTACAAGAACTTCAGTTTGCGAGTTGATCACGGATTGATATCAGTTAGAGAACTATTGAAAACCAGCACTGTAGTACTGGACAGCTGTTTCATCCCAGTGCTTGGGAATCATCGACAGTACGCGCCCACTACACAAGGTTCGAACTCAGGACCTTTCGGTTACAAGGCAAGCGCCTATACTATTCAGCCACTGGGACCCGATTCAATGGCTAGTGCATGAATTCCAACTTTACCAATTCGTGATTTAGCGTGACACCAGCCAATGCCGATGATTCCCAAACTAGGATGAAACAGCTGTCTAGTGCTCCAGTGATGATTTTCAATGGTTCTCTAACTGATATACCAATCTGTGATCAACTTGTAAAAATAAAACTGACCCTTAAAAACCAACTGTAGAAAACTTCAGTTTACTTTCATCATATGCGTAATAAACAAGTAACCATGAAAACTGCTTCAATGTAACACTCAATCACACACATCACTTACCAACAATACGTAACCAACCAATATCGTTTTTATTTTTCAGTGTATTTCTAACTTTCTATAAATAGAAACAAAAAAATGTTTATTTTTCATAAAAAAAAATTTACTGTTAACGTTATATAAGTAAATATGCACACATCCACTTTGAAAAAAAAACAACAACAAGATAAACATTAAAATTTGAACAAGGGTATTTAGAAGACAAATTTCGTGAGATGATAGCATCATTTCGTAGTTTCTCTACAATCGCTTGTTAGAAAACCTTCAAAGGTGACCTTCTGGCTGACACCTTGAAAAAGAGGATATCTACTGCTCTCAGAAGGACATTCTTCGCTGCCACACTACGACTGACATTTTCCTCCCGGCCATTATTCTTCAACTACTCTAAAGATAAACTATCGCATTTGACCACTTACATGTGTATCTACCAATTCACCTGCTCTTGCGGAGCGAGGTATATAGGTCGTTCGATGCGAGTTTTATCTAAAAGAGTTCAAGAACACTATCCCGCCTGGCTACGGAAAGGTAACAACGGAGCAATAAGGAGCGCCATTATTGAGCATATACTCAACACTGGTCATTCGATTTTCAAGGAGAAGTCGTTCAAAGTCATCTATAAAGTCAAAAGAAGCCTTCCAAAATCGACAAGCTTCCGTATACTTTGTATTGCTGAAGTCTCAGCGATTTGGATAGAAAAGCCTGATTTATGCACACAGAAGAAACTTCGCCACCCCCTCTTACTACCGTATGTTTAATTTCAACAACATTTTAATTTCATCAACATTTTGTTATCAAATTGTTTTGCAATTTTTCGTATAACAATTTTTAGTAACTAACCCATTCAATCTTTTCACCTATTATCTAGTTTATTTTCATAATTGCCTCCATACTCCTTCACTAACATCTAATCTTTCCAAACATGTCTATATTACGTAACCCTACTCACATCTTACCAATCTTCACCCCACTTAGTTACAACTTTGATTATCAATCACACATTTTAATTTCTTAATTATTTTGATGATGTAATCAACAACCCACACCAACGGTTATTTTGATTTTGACAAACCTAATGTACACAAACACACACATAAAATTAATTGTATATATTTGCGACTGTACAGCTAAGTGAATGAATTCGCCAAAAAGAGACTCTTCGCTGAACTAATTTGTTAGAAAAGCATCAGAAATGTAATTTTGGTCTTCAATGAGATCGTAAACTCCTGAGCTCTAATCTGTGGAAGGACGTAGGTGTCTACTGCAGAAGGATCGATGTCTTAAATGTTCTTTAATTACTAATTGCTTCGCTGGTTGATAGTATTGGCGTGTATATAGAACTTTTTCAAAAAACCACAATATTGATATCAATATTGAACAGATAACTCCCTTATCGACAACTTGATCCAAAGATCAATATTACGGAGGACTAACATGAACTGGACAGTTAGTTTATTAACTTCCAGAACTTCATACTACTGATGAGAAAGCAGAATCTAGTACATTCTGTAGGCTCGGCGATTTGAAAAATCTACTCAGAAAATCCGATAAAGACTAAATTAAAATCTCTATGTATCGTTTTATTAAAAAATGGTTATCCATCTAGATTTATCAACAGAAACATGAGAGAAAAACTGTTCCTCAACAGATATGTAGGAGAAAATTGAGATGGATCCGGCACACGTTGAGGAGACCGTCGAATGACATTACGCTCCAGGCCACCACTCGACTCGAATCCCAATGGGAAGCGACGAGTGGGTTGTCGGTTTGAGAGTGACATGGAGGGTATTGTGTGAAGAGGAGATGAGAGATTATGGGTAGCTGTGGATACAGCTGAGGAGGAGGGCACCATATAGAACAAAGTAATGTGCTGTGAAAGCCCTATGTTCCACTTGGAACCCAGGGGAATAATAATGATAATAGTCATAAGAAAACTCTCTGCATGAACTTGAAATTCTGAGATAACGTCGAAGCACGAATTCTTATAACATCGTCCTCATAAGTCTCTGAAGAAGTCATTCCTAGCGTCCATCTTATGAATCACATCCTCTCCAATAGACATTTAATTCGGTCATGTGTCAAGGAGAAGATAGTACTTTTGGTCATCTCAGTATGTGAAGCAAAGTATATTGGTTGTACACAGCATCAAGTTCACAAACGTATTTTGAAATAGTGACCAGCGTGATTAGTTACAGCAGAAACCATGAATACCAATAGTTCTATCCTGTGGGACTTTGTCAGCTCTGAGCATTAGGCACAGTGATATTGCTTAGAAGGACTTTTATTGTGGTGAGAGCTAGCCGCTAGCCAAATTGGTAGACAGTAATGTTTACGTCCCCAATATTGGTCGTGAGAAAAATAAGAAGAAAGACTGACTGATTCAACAACCAATCACATCAGACTTTGCGTCGGCGGATACAATTTGCAGAAAGATAATCTGAACTTCGAGAAACGGCCACAAAGAGATGAAAGAATAACGTTCAGCGAGAAAGCACCAATCAGAAGACTGTGTTTGTCTGCTAACAATAATCTATAATAATTTGCACTTAATAGCGTTCTTTGAGCTGGTTGGTTTAGTTGCGAAGCTTTCGTCGTCCTTCTGGACAACATCTTCAGCGCCATATTGTCCAGAAGGACGACGAAAGCTTCACAACTAAACCAACCAGCTCAGAGAACACTATTAATTACAAATCATCCACCTGAGCTACAAAACTTCTCTATTATTTCAAAATCTATAATAATGTATATGAAAATCTATAAATATCTGTTGATTTCCAAAATAAAGGATCTGTTGCCTGACCCTTGTCTTCTGTTGTTACACTATTGCGCCATTTATACACAGTCGGATAACTGGCTGTATAGAACCTGAAACCGGACATGTGCATCCATTTACAGTGATTTGACAATTTTTCACACTCATTGCGTAGCTCCAACTTCGAACCTCCACTTTCTCACTCCTTTCTAGATTATACCTCACATTACGTGATTTGTTCTCTAGAACATGGTTCACAACATCTGATTGGTTTTACAAATTCTTTGTTATTGTATACAAGTGCATTTTGTCTTTAACAGTCCATATTCCCGACAAGTAGGTGGAATAGCTATGGGTTCACCATTAGACTCGATCTTAACAGACTGCTTCCTTGAAAGACTTGAAAATGGAAGATTGAAAGATGTCATCAATGAATTGGATGTGCCTTACCATTATGTCAATGATAAACTTATCTTAATTCATGAGAATTCACTATTATTATTATCATTTTCTCTTTTAGTTCCTAGAGGAACATAGGTCTTCGGGCACACTTCTCCATTGCATTCGGTTCTCAGCCAACGTTCTCACCTGGCTCCACGTTTGCCTACATGCTTTCATCTCCTCTTCACATCACCTCCTCCTCCATGTCACCACACACTCGCACTGAGGATCAACTCGCCACTTTCCATTCGGGTTCCACTAGAGCATTGGTGGTTTGTTTTCTCAGAGTATGTCCAATCCACCTCCATTTCCTGCCGCATACTTGTTGCACAATCGGTTCCTGCTGGTTTGGTTCGTTCCCAGAGATCCCTCCCCATTTCTAACCTTGTCTGGCCGGTCATCTGATCTTGAGTAGTATTGAGCGAAGACAGCTATTGATGAAGGTGTGTAGTTTTTTCGAAGTGTCCTTTGTGACGCGGCGCGGAACCATTTCTCTGGTCCTTATAGTAGCACTAACTTCACATTGGAATTGAAAATTTGGATCTTAAGAGATACATTAACCTCCGTTTACACATCTCTGGTGAGGTCAAGACTAGAAAACCGTATCCAGGCAGGTAGTCCTTGTCTAAAGGGGTTCAAAGGAAGGCAACACGTATGATTTTTTGGTATAACTAACTTACCATACGAGGAAAGACTAGACAGTTAAATCTCTTCTCCCTATCACACCGTAGTAGGCAGAGAGGAGATTTAATTGCAATGTCTAAAATTTTAAATAATGACTACAGACGTGACTTATTTCCTCTTTTCCTTCCCACCAGGTTGTCAGAACACCTTAGAGGACATAATAGGAGAGTTCAAAAGCCAAGAAGAAATCATATTGCTGTTGAGTACTGGTTCACACCCCAAGTCATAAACTCTTGGAACTGACTCCCAGAAGAAGTGGTATCTGCAATCTCAAGTGATTCATTCAGGAAGGTTTTGGACAATCACAGATATTTACTAGAAAAGGATTAACATAGACTCCAAGCCTTCTATCCTCAACCAGTGTCTATTATTCAATGCCATTATTGTTACAAAAATTAGAAATAACAAAGAGTACTAAAACAATTATAATCAGGACAAAGCTAACTCACATAATAATCATGAATTTGATCCAGTGTAAGCTTGGATACACCTTCTTTAGAAAGATCACCATATATTGATTCTGTTTCACGTTTTAATTGATCTGTTGAACCAGATCTACTAATACTATTAGATGATAATGGAAGACTTAATGAATCTACGATCGGTAATAAACCTGTCATTGTAGCTAAAATATGCAATTCACCATGACAACGTGATTCTTGATTTTTCAATGTGAAACATGTTGTCCAGTCTAGAACAAGTTTTGAAAATTCCAAATAAAATCTAGTGAAAGAAAGAAAAAACAGTGGGAAGGGGTGGGAGGGAACAAGAATTAGGCTACTGTTGGGACAAATTTAATTTACTTTATTGAAATATCAACACGATTTGCTAAATTACCTCAGGTTAGACCAGGGAGTACTGGACAGCTGTTTCGTCCTAGTTTGGGACTCGTCATCCGCAGCACGCACCCACCGCCAGGGTTTGAACCCAGGACCTTCGGGTTACAAGACAAGATCATATACTGTCCACCCACTAGGACCCGATTCAGTGGCCAATCCATGAATTCTAACTTCCGCTAATCTGTGATTTTTATCACGATCACCAACCAATGTCATTGGCAGGACTTCTTACTCACTCCTGACTGCATGGAGCTCATTGGTCATGACTTCTCACTAGAATTCCAGGAAAGTTCTTCACGTAGCCAGTCACTAAAGAGCACAAAACTAATTCTCAGGTTCATTCACAGAACCACAGTAATCTCTTCAAATGACCGTCCTAATAAGAAGCTCAAGACAACCCAAAAAAGTTCATTTTTGTAAAAATAGGAATTTGACCCCAAGGTAAGTCAAGGTATTAACATCCGCAAAAAAGATTTTTTTAAACTGCAGTTTTTCTGTTATAAAAATACTAAAATAATAACAGGACACTTTAAGAAAATTGTTAAGTGAGCATTCAGTGCAAAAATGGTACACTATCAACTTGTAGATAAGGAGCATCAAGTTGATGTTATCAACTATTCCTAGTTTTGCCTTGCAGTTCTGGACATTGGAACCAACTTGAAGAAGCTGAATCTGCTCAGAAAATATTCGTATAACCACTTTCCTTATATCGGTCATTATTATGAATGTATTTAAAACAAATTTTAGTTGTTAAACAAGTGTTTAATTATTTTATGATTTGTTTTAAACTACCTTTTCAGTTGTAAGTAGCATAAAGTATATACTGAAAATTTTAGAAAATGCAAAATTGATTCTGCTGAGTAAACGGTGGTTGCTGGATTCAAGTTTCACTCATAGATCTAGCTGGCTAACACACATTCGGATAAAGCGCACCTCCCGAATTCTAATGGTCTAAGCTTAATGGTCTTAATTTAGAAATCCTTCTAAATATCAGATAGTTGAATTCATTTTCAGAAATAAACGTTATCTCAACGTACTCAATAGTTCACACGATGCTTTTAGCTTAGAGAGCACTGAAATAGGAACTAAGTCAAGCATAGCATACTTTTGAATAGTTCTAATATTTGACCTTCCTTGTTCATCCCATATTCTGCTGATTTCTTAGAAAATTTCCTGTCTAACCTACTACATTAGGAAGTTAAGTTAATCAAGAATCACTCATCATCTACTTTTACAGTTTGTTAACCTACTACCTACTATTGTTCATTACTCCCCCTACTTTAGTCTTTCCTGGGCTACTCAAAAAGGACTATGTCATATTGCGTAGGGTATTAAAGATTTTCAGAAGGGCAAGTGGAGTTCCACTAAGTCAGCCTGTTATTGTTGTAGTTGACAGATATCTGAACTGATGTGATAAATGATCCTAATCCACATTGTCTGCCTCTCAACACCCACCTCTATTCTCAACTCCTCCCGCCCTGCATCTTATCAAGTAGGACTAGAAGTCACTATAAAAGACCATGTGCTTAAACAAGGAAGAATGTAAACTCAACGATTCCCTATTTAGCTCGTCCACGTCATATATGATTGGGAGTACTCACGTATATTGGAGTAGAATTTTTGGCGCTAGCGGTTACGATTCCTAGCTTTCCCCTAAGCGGCCTGGGTTCGACTTCCAGGGGGCAGGAGCGCTTCTGCGCGTCGGTGATTTAAGCCATAGAATGCTCGCCAACTACGCCTCATGTGGTCCAGAATTCGATCCCCGGTCGACATACTGGTTTACTTCGCTAAGCCAGTATTAGGACTGGTAAAGAGGAAAGGTTGGGCATGAGGCTAGTAGCCTCATTCCGTAAAAATAAACACCACTGCTACCGAAACTTCCAGTCTCTAGCTTGAAGCCCCATTCAACAAGTAATATGATAATGCCGAAACTTTGAAGTGAAGGCTGTCTGCTTTAACTCACGACAATATTCCTAGTTGTGGGGAGCCGGACTATGCAGCGCACCTTACGTACATGGGCAGCTGGAAGCAGGAATACGTTGAACTGATAAGAGGATCTGGACAAAGTGGTTCATTTATATCTAATGTTACACAAACTCAAAGAAATACTGGCGAAGACCAACAAGTTTTCAGAAGTACCATCAAAGACAGGACTTGAGGCGAACCAATCAATAACCTATTGTTCAACATATATGTCGGAAAAAATGGAGGTGGATTGAACATACTCTGAAGAGATCGTTGATGGACATCACGCGCCACACCCACTAGTGGAATCTGAGTGGAAAACAACAAGTTGGATGTGAGTCTGCGGATGATATGGAGGAGATCGTGTAAGGAGGAGATGATAGACTATGGACAATCTTGGGCCAAAATGAAGAGAACTACAAGGAATAAGGTGAATCAGTGACGTTCTGTTGACTCCATATGTTCTACTTGAAACTCAAGGGAGTAATAATTATCCTTACCAAATGACCTAACAGATCCATTTTCTCATACGGTAATAATTACCTTTCAGACAATGGAGTTGTTCTTCAGACGTCTAATGAATTCATCGTTATCATCACTCTAACGTCTTGATGTAACTCTTTTCATGACACTTCTAATCATAGTAGGTTGAAAAGTGAGAGAAGCAGATTATCGGAGATAAATATTTCATATTCCTAGAAGTCTGCTAACTGATATTATAGGTTATAATAGTACTCCCTAATCACAATACCGATCACCAGTATTACAATAATAGTTTCACTAATATTCAAAGCAAGAAAAGCGGATGAAACTTTGATATAAGAGCTGTTCCTGCCTAAAACAACTGCCGAAACGGTTGACAGCAATCCTGAATACATCGGTCTCAAATGATTTCGAAACATACTAAGTTGGATGGAGGATTTCATCATGAGGTGACATCAGTTAGAGAACCATCGGAAAACCTGCAGTACTGGATTAATGCACAGATGTTTCGTCAGTCTAATTTGCGACTGGTTCTTCAGCAGTATGTACTCACCGCCAGCGGGGTTCGAATCCAGGACCTTCTAGTTACAAGGCCAGTGAGGTGGTAGACCATTGAGCCACTGGAACCCTATCCATTGGGCAGTCCATGAATTCTAACTTCTGCAAATTCACGACATAGTGGGGCCACTTCGCAATGTTTTCTTCGATGAGTTACTGTTTCATCTTCAACCTGGTGTACCCTACTAGTCACGGCTTCCCTCTAGAACCCCAGGTCATTCACTGCCTGAATAGGGCCAGTCACTAGTGAGCATCAGATCAATTTTTTCAAGTATTGGTTTTTGTAGTGACTTTGTTTGATTGGTTAGAGGATTTCGCCATGATGTGGGCCATTGGATCGCGTCCCAGTGGCGGAATGGTCCACGAGGCCGCTAGCCTTGTAACTAGAAGGTCCTGGATTCGAACCCCTCTGGCAGTGGGTGCGTACTGATGAAGAGCCACTCCCAGACTAGGCTGACGAAACAGCTGTCCAGGTGGTTTTCTAGTGGTTCTCCAACTGATGTCAGCTCATGATGAAATCCTTCATCCAATCAAACAAAATCCCTACAAAACCAATACTTGAAAACACTAATTTCACGAATACATTTCAGAAATTATTAACCAATGAGAATCCAGGCTTCAGACAGTGTGTAGACATGCCTAAAGGGTGCCATTAGTGCGCGATATCTAAAAGAGATCGATGAAAGTTATTCATTCATAATTTTTAATACTTTCATAAACTTACCGTCCAAGTAGATTTCCGTTTTGATGTGAATCATCAAATACTTCACATTGGAGGACAGTTTTCATACCAGGACGTACACGAAATTCAAATCGTTCATTCCATAAGGGATTTTTTGTATGCATCACAGCCTTGAGATAGGAAAAAGAAATCAATTACGTCTGTGTATTATATATTTGTGTTTGTATGAGTAGAATGATCTCGTTGAAACGAATTTTGCCTTTGAAAATTCAATGGTTACCTAACTGATTCCGTGTTAAATCTCATTATGAAACTATATCGTATATGGAATGACTGGAAACTAAATAATATCTATCGGAGAGCTGTTTAGGCAACGAATGTCTGAAACTTCCGAACTTATGGTCAGTAAATTTCAACCCACCTAATCCTACAGAAACTTTATTCTCCTGGGTTAAAATCTTCGTCACTGTTCACTGGTAGCAGGTCTAAAATTAATTCAGCACAGTTCTCTTACTGGGTTGACCGAGTGATGCCGCTTTGTTATAAATTAGTCAGTTGCAAGGCAAATGTTGACACTTACTGGCAATTACACCTTGGAATGGTAGGCGTTGTGTTAATTCGACTGTATGTATTTGGTATTGAGTTGATTAATAAGGCCTCAGTGATTAACCTCTCTCTCTCTCCACCTAAATATATCACTTTTAAATTCTCTCACCCTGCCCCACCCATCCTATGGTGTGTAATTACATGCAAGGGATTGGAATGCAGTGAAATGACTGAGCTATTTTCTAGGTTATTTGACTTATAGCTGTGTTTTTTAAATAATATCGATTTGTTAAGTAAGGTCACAATGGAATTACAGTTCATTAAAATGTTTAAATTATAATAATAATAATACAGTTATAATAGCAAGTAGAATATCAACTAAAATTAAAGAAATTTCTACAACGACAGATTGAGGATCATTCAAACCTAGATGGCAAGGGGGTAAGGACAGTGTATGAACTAGCTTCTTTTGGACTCATAAATTAGGCTTCTTAATATGGATCCCAACAGCCTCAGCAATATGTATGTAGCAGACGAACTCTTAAGGTGAAGTTAGGATTTGTTGGTTTGTGGTAAATCACTTTGAAAGCTGCCTCGTTGACATCAATCTTGTGTTCTGTTGCATCCACAAGATGAGATATAATAGCGCTACGAATAAATTTTGTTTGTCCTTTACTTAATCAATATGCAGGGTGATTTTCGGAAATCCGACGAGAAACATGCCTAATTGTACGGCCTAATTTCGCCCCTTTCATGTGTATCTACCAATTTAACTGCTCCTGTGGAGTGAGCCAGTTACATAGGCCATACAATTAGGCGTGTTTCTCGTCGAATTTCCAAACATCACTCTGTGTGCTTAAGCAAAGGACAAACAAAATCTATTCGTAGCGCTATTCTATCTCATCTTGTGGATACAGAACAGGGTCATCTACCGCATACTAACAAATCTCAATAATGCCCTAAGAGTTCGACTACTAAATATTGCTGAGGCTGTTGGGATCCATATTAACAAGCCTAATTTGTGCGTCCAAAAGAAGTTAGCTCAGACATTGTCCTTACCGTGCTGGCCATCTAGGTTTGAATGATCCTGAATTTTTGTTGATATTCTATTTGATGCTATATCTTTATTCTTGTTATAATTTAAGCATCTTTAATGAACTGTGGTAGTTTCATTGATCATACTTTACCAATCGATATTATTTAAAAAACACACCATTATTGTTATTGACTACTATTCTAGATTATTCTATGTATATAGACATGTATATATAATTGTAGAGCCAGAACAGGAGGAAATTATCGAAAAGGATAATCTTTGCTCAATCATTTTGTATTTGACTTATCACGATCAGTCATTCTAGGTCTAGCTAAACTTTTATGTTCCAGTAATCTAACTGACCGCGATCTACTAGTTTGACCTATGTGATTGACCTCCTAGTCAGCACCACATAGTAATGAGTAAATTATTTTTTCCTTAATCTGATGTATCGGGTCCTTAAGTCGACAAAGTTTATTTCTGAGAGAGAGTTGATTGGTTGGTTGGTTTAAATGCCACCCTTATTTCAGTCTCATTAAGAATCATAAATAAGGGCTCTGATGCTCCTTCTTTATACAGCAGTACTAATCAGGCTTTCACTTCTATATTATTTTCGTTATTTTTATTGCTAGTCTCAGTTTTTCTATTGTTCTTCATATATTTTTCAATAAATTCTGATGGGTAGTTAGTCATTCACGAGTAATACACCTCCTTCATTTGTTTGATTTCAATATTTGAATCTCCTAGCCTCCTAGTTAGGCTCGTGGCCAGACTACAAAGATGTTTAACTGAACCTATCTTGCTTTATGGATTCTGGAAGGGATGAATCAGAGTCTAGTCTAAGTATTTAGTAGAGGGTGTGTGTCGGTTCCTTATAAACGCCAGTATCCAATCAACCATCTTGTTTTCGTTTTATTTTACAGTCAGTCTAGCATGGCCAATTCATCTGGTTTATTTTCTAACTGAGAAGTGAATTGGATTCCGTTTACTATTGAGTATTTTTTATGTAGTTGTGTTCTCTGAGCTGGATGGTTTATTTGCGAAGCTTTCATTGCCCGCCCTACTGGGCAACATCTTAAGAGCGCATACTTCAATTTGAAGTGAAGTGAGCTTTCAGATTTCCCCACGAGTTTATGAGTCATTTCTCCTGGTGACCTTGCAAGTGATTGATTGTTTTGTGAGTTTTCACACCCTCCAGTCTACTTCTATTGGTACTGATTGTTTCCTTGACCTGAAGTTTGACTCTTTGTGTGTGAGATTTCTTCCTTATCGGTTAATAAATTCTGTCTATGTCGATGTGTCTATTGATTGATGATTCACTGGAATACCAGACAACCTTCTAAAAATTTTCTAGCATTTTTGGTGTTTCCTCCGTCTAATATTTGAACGTTGCAAGACTCTTCAAACCAGTAGGAATTGACATCGCACACAAACCAACAAAATCACTTCAACAATCAGCTCTCTGGCTCTATGTCAACCAAGAGGCTCAACAACGAAAGATGAAACCAACATTATCTACAAAATAAATTGTAACAACTGCGAAAAACTAACTAAATTGGCCGAAGTGTGCATCCTCTTCGTCTTTGTATCCATGAACATAAACTAGCCTTCAAAAGACATGATACCCACTCCCTCTCTCATACCACTACATACAGACAACCATGGACATCAATTCGACTGGGACAATCAGCGTTCAAATATTAGACAGAGGAAACAACAAGAATGCTAGAGGTCGCCTGGTATTCCAGTGAATCATCAATCAATAGACACATTGACATAGACAAAATTTACTAACTGATAAGAAGGAAATCTCACATACGAAAGGTCAAAGTTTAAGTCAAGGAAACAATCAGTTCCAATAGAAGTAGCCTAGAGGATGTGAAAACACACGAAAACAACTATGTGTGTTCAAGGTTACTCACCAGAAGGGATGACTAATAAACTCATGGGGAAATCTAAAGGCTCACTTCACTTCAAATTGAAGTATGAGCTCTGAAGATGTTGCCTAGTAGGCGGCAATGAAAGCTTCACAAATAAACTATCCAGCTCAGAGAACACAACCACATAATAAATACTCAATAGTAAACGGAATCCAATTATTTTCTCAGTTCGAAAATGAACAAGATGAGTTGACCATGCTAGACTGAGAATAAAATCCTATTTTTAGACGTCTTAGTCAAACGAACAACCACAAGGAAATTAGAAACTCAAGTTGATAGAAAATCAACTCGCACAGATCAAATACTCAATTACAATAGCAACAATCCAATAACACACAAAAGGAGGTGAATATGAACACCATTCAAGAGAGCCAGGACACATTGCAGCACCCCCATCTTAAGGAAAACTGAAGAAAGATATCTCATGGATGTCTTCCAAAAGAATGGATATCCACGGAATTTCATCAAAAAAATATACCCCCAAGCCAACCTATCAAACCAAAAGCCCTCAAAGAAAGCACAAAGAAAATCTCCCTACTGTATATGAATGACATCTCAGAAATCACTGCAAGACTCTTCAAACCTTTAGGAATTAACGTCATACACAAACCAACAAAATCACTTCACTCAGCTGACTGACTCTATGTCAACCAAAAGATTCAAGAGCAAAAGTAGATAAAACCAACATCATCTACAAAATAAATTGTAACAACTGCAAAAACACTACATTGGCCAAAGTGAACGTCCCATTCGTCTTCGTATCCACGATCATAAATTAGCCGTCAAAAGACATGACATCCACTACCTCGCTCATATCTCTGCATACAGACAACCACGGACATCAATTCGATTGCGAAAACATTCAAACACTAAGCAGAGGAAAAACCAAGAATCCTAGAGAATTTTTAGAAGGCGCCTTGTATCCCAGTGAACCATCAATCAATAGACACATCGAGATCGACAAAATTTATCAACTGATACGAAAGAAACCTCACACACAAAGGGTCAAAGTTCAAGTCAAAGAAACAATGACTGACAATACAAGTAACCTAGAAGGTGTGAAAACACACAAAAACAACCAATCACGTCTAAGGTCACCGGAAGAGATGATTAATAAACTCGTTGAGAAATGTAAAAGCTCACTTCAATTCAATAAATTGAATTATGCGCTCTGAAGATGTCGCCTAGTAGGACGAAGAAAGCTTCGCAAATTAACTATCCAGCTCAGAGAACACATCCACATCAAGAACAGTGACTTTATTAGACAAAAGTACACCATTTTGGGTTTTTGTCGACATGTCGACTGGTACCTAGTACAGATGCTTCAACAATTTCTGCGAATTAACATTATATATTATTTACTGGATAGTGACTAGCACTGAAACTCCCGATACACATTCCGTCCTCATTTTTGGGCCTCCTTTCCAGTGAGGCAATAGGGTTGCTCCAATACCAAAGTGTTTTTCCACTAGACTAATTAGGCATCTAAAACAGCTCGTGATGGTTTCGAATCTCAAGGGGGACGAAATCACTCACTGTAGGTGAATTCAGGTGCATCCAGATGATGAGTCAAAAACCAGACGAAAGATACGTCTTAGATTCGTAGTCACTATCAGCAGGTAAATAATATCTGAAAAGAATTCACCACATCTGTTCTTACAAGGAGACTGGACAAAGAGAGAGGGAGACTGGGAGTCACAGAGATACTGATAAGGGTTTTTGTTGTAACCAGAAATCAGACCACCTACCTTACTTTGTTGTGTTTTCATGCCCACAGTTAAACTTGCTATTGGACACGGTAGATTATTCTTCTCATCATCAGGATATCCAGATGCAGTGGACTCAGAATTATGACCACGTAGAGATTTCAATCGTGACAGTTTAATATTTTCTAAATCACTTGAAAAACAATTTCGCTGACGACCACGTGATTTTAAATTTTTTGCTCCAACCAAAGTGATAATCAGTCGAGATTGTTGAAATAAACTTTCCATTTGTATTTCATTATTCAGTGAATGTAATTTATCAATACTTTCTAATTCCCCTCCATGATGATGATATCGACTAGTGTATAGTTCCAAGGTTGTACCTTCATAGAATGAATATGGCCATATTGGTTGGAGTAACAACGATTGATTCTCATGGATCCATTTATCTTCAAGCCGACTTAAAATATTTTTCTCTGCTTGTTTTGGTGTTTGTGGTTGTGACTGTGATTGTTGTTGACCATCTTCACTTTGAAGATCATCGGTTGGATCGATAAGTTCGATTGAGTCATGATTTGATCGATTTCCTTGCCAGGTTCTCTGTAAATTATAAAATGAGGAATCAATAAAATCCATAAATTGATAGTGACAATTAATGAATATAAAAAAACCTAAATTACTGTTGTGCTTCGCTGAGGAGTCTTAGTAAAGGCAAATTATGGGCAACAGTAGGGGATAGATACCACAGTCAAGTGACCTTGAAGCATCAACCAATCAGGTTCTTTGAGGTTAAGAGTGGCATTTATTGTATAAAAAAATGATTTATCCAGGGCGTATGCTGCAAACATCAGTCCCAGTTTCTCATAGGAGTGTCTTAAGATACATGGAACCAATCTCGATACAAAAATTCATCGACGTATCTGTATATCATGTCATCTCGGGAACCACTTACCATTCTAAAACTTCTTCTGGGCCCTGAATGGGCCCAGAATCCTGCAGTGGAACTTCAATGTGTTCGACTTATAGGATTGACTTCATAAGGAATATGGCCTAATGACGATATCGAATGACGAAATCGTTTTATACTGTAAATTTCGTCTTCCTTTCTTTATCGAAATTTACCAAAAGAATCAAATGTATGGCACTTAATAATGTATTTGAGCTGTGTATGCAGCTGATGAGAGATAAGCCAACGAAATAAACAATGATGGTGCCATTTTATTCTACAAAAACCGCTATTGTTCCTGCTTTATTCAAATTAATTAAGGGGAATAAATGCATGAAATTTCTCAAAAAATCTTTGCTAGAGCAAGCCAGAATCAAAGATAATGACTGTATTCACAATTCACTCGTCGATCTTTACTGAATTGAACGTCAGAGGTGAGAAAATAGACTACTTAGGTCAAGCTGAAAGGTCATTTTGAAGGTCAAAGTAACAATGAAGATCACTATACCAAATAACAGGGGTAATAGTACATCTGCTATGGTATCAAAACAAAATTTACCAAGGAAGGTGGTTTGGTGTGATGACGAATTGTTGCTTTGTCCGTATAAAGGTGGTTTAGATTTCCTAATTGCTAGTTATGACTTTCACAAACTTTAGGATACACCCACCCCCAAACACGTTCCATAGATAGGTTTAAAAGATGTGTAAACGTCAATTTTATGTGATATCTCTACACTATGTTTCGCAATAGAGGAGCTAGGTCTTCTGCTCTCATCATTAATTGGTTCTGAAGATTCTGTTTGCTTCTGGAGCCATTTAGGAATATGGTCTGAAGCCAGCCCTTACTTGCAGACATCGATGAGTCCTCCTTATGCATGTGTAGCCACACGAAAATTCAAATTAGTAAATACAATGGGATGTGACATCACTTTTAGCATGTTCAGAGGCTTCACATTCTCAATTATTATGATATGAGCTGCATAGAAACTCTTTTTAACAGCTGCGTTCAAGCTGCTATGATGCTCCATATAGGGTAGCTTGATGTACAAGTCTTTCTTGGCGGCGAGTTGAAGAGTGGATCTTGGTGTTTTGATCACTTTATATCTCTTGATGAACTTATCTGGAGAATTGTCATCAACCAGAGTTTGTGTCAACTTTCTTTCTTCCTCATCAAGTGTGTCTTCAGTGTATATTCGTTGGATTCTACTGAAGGACGTGCTAGAACATGCTAGAATCAAAGAAAGTGACTGTATTCACAATTCACTCGGGAATCTTTACTGAATTTGACGTCTGTATATAAAAATTTATAAACATGATCATATTCACTTAGTTCTCAAGTGGAATCTTACGTAAGCATGACACTGCTTCTTCGATAATTGGAAACTGGGGTGAAGGCCTATTATATTCCACTCAAAACGCCTTGAAATGAATGATAGTAACAGTGACAGTAATAGTGATAGAGCCCTTTTGAAAAACCATTTAAAATAGAATTAGAAATTCAGAAATTATTATCTATTAACGCCGATTTATGAGTCGGTGGCACTGTGGTAGAACGCTTAATGACCACACCTCATGTGGTCCGGAATTCGATCCCCGGCATCCAAGCACTCCTTTACTTCACTATGCCATTAATAAGACTGGTAAAGAGAAATGGTTGGGCATGAGGCTAGCAACCTCATCCCTTAAAAATAAATAGCACTGCTACCGAAACTTCAAGTCCCTAGCTTGAACCCCTATGTGTATCTACCAATTTAACTGCTGCTGTGGATCCAGTTACATAGGCCGTACAATTAGGCATGTTTCTCGTCGAATTTCCGAAAATCACCCTGCATATTGATTAAGTAAAGGACAAACAAAATTTGTTCGTAGCGCTATTATATCTCATCTTGTGGATGCAATAGAACACAAGATTGATGTCAACGAGGCAGCTTTCAAAGTGATTTACCACAAACCAACAAATCCTAACTTCACCTTAAGAGTTCGTCTGCTACATACATATTGCTGAGGATGTTGGGATCCACATTAAGAAGCCTAATTTATGAGTCCAAAAGAAGCTAGTTCATACACTGTCCTTACCCCCTTGCCATCTAGGTTCGAATGATCCTCAATCTGTTGTTGTAGGAATTTCCTTAATTTTAGTTGATATTCTATTTGTTATTCTATTATTATTATTTAAGCATCTTTAATGAACTGTAATTCCATTGATTTTACTTAACAAATCGATACTACTTAAAAGACACATCGATGTTGTTGTTGACTACTATTCTAGAATATTCTATGCATATAAACATGTATATATATAATTGTAGAGCCAGAAGAGGAGGAAATTATCGAAAAGGATATTCTTCTTTGCTCAATTATATTTTGCCTTTTTTGTAGGTGTCTGAATGAATAAAAAAAATATCGATTTATAGTAATTTAACTTACCACTAAACTAGCTGTTGATCCTGAATACACTGAAGGCACAGCAATGCTCTCAACCGTGGAGAAATTGTCATTGAATAGTTGCTAGAAATAAAAAAAAATATTGAACAGATCGATTAATGAAGGTTATTCATTAAAATTTTAATATGTATAGATTGTTTCACGAATCAACATCACTTAGGAAACTGTTGAAATCCAAGGAGGGCTAGACAGGTACTTTGTTCTAGTTCTGGGGTTATAAGACACGAATATTGGATCCATTGGAGGGGAATTTTGGGTGAGCAGTGCGTCGGTAGCACAGTGGTTAGGACTCTCGCCGACCATGCACATGGTCCCGGGTTCGATCCCCTGCCGGCGCACACCCGATATCTATGGTCGGCCTGAATTTGGGCTACCGATATCCATGCTGAAAATTCCACACTTGTACTGAAAATACGATGTGGAATCAAGCTGTAAATCAAAAAAAAAATCAAAAAGTCCCGAATTAAGACGCAGCAGTTGTCCAATTTTCATTGGATTTCAATGTTTCTCTACATGATATCGCTTCTTGACGAAATTCAAAGTCAAAAGAATGGAATTAAATAAGGGCGAAAATTTATTCCCTCAGACCCCAAAGATTTGTTTAAACCCCAGTTAGCTGAATTAAGATTATCTCTGAAAAGTGGTAAAGATGGTCAAAATAAACCATAAATAACAGATTTAATTGAATTTTAGGTTTTCCTATCGATTGATTGAATCGAATTGCTCGGTCTCACGTTGACATGTCGGCTTCTTGTGTAGATGCTTCAACGATGTCTGGGCAAGTAATAAGAAGTAAACTGGTGGAAGGTGACTAGCAGTGGAATCCAGGACAATGTCCATTTCGTCCCATTTTGGACTCGTCAGCCAGCGGATGTCCCTGCATTCCTCAGTGGGAACATTATCACTCACAGAGGAATGCAGGTACATCCACTTGTTGACGAGTCGCAAATAGGACGAAATGCACTCTGTCATGGATTCCACTGCTAGTCACCATCCACCAATCAACGTAAATAACAGAATTACGCAAAATCACTAACTGCTGACATCCTTTATGAAAAGAAAGTAAGTAATTGCACAATCAATGTCAATCTTTTCAGTAATTATGGTGCTATTTTGTCTGAGCTTTATCCGTCCCCCCGTTTATTATGGCATTTTAATTCCTAATTGTAATTCTATTAATCTGACCCTTGACCAGAAATTATTCTGGAACTTTCCCACCCATTTATTACAAATACACGAATTTACAGCCTAGTTGACGGTGACTTCGTCAAAAAGAAAATTTTCTTCGCTGCAACTGTCTTTTTATTCCTTATGATCAATAATGATAACATAAATAAGAAAGAATATAAGGCATCTACAGTTTCGCCGTATAAGGAGGGGACATCTGAAAACCTACGTATAGGATTCTTAACAAAGCGGGGATTACAGTGGTATTTAAATCTACAAAGTCACTAAGGGAGGACAAGCTGTGTAGGCAAAAGGATCCTGGAAATGACCGTGGGGTCAACTAAATAGGTCAAATTAGTAGATGAGGTGTGGTCAAATTATCAGAACATAAGAATTTACCTAAGTGTAGAATGTCTGACCCCACGAGCACAAGTAATTTAGAAAAAAGCTCAGTAATCACACTGCTTACATTAACACGAACACAACCACACAATAAGGTAGGATAGAGTTACACTTCTATTAAGTGTCCAAAGTGTTCAAGTTCCATTCGCATATCAATGATCCTACACATAATGCTGTGAATTATAAAACGACCCTCACACATTAAAAAAATTAATCGACTTAACTTACCGCTGATGAAGCTTCTCGGGGAATTTGTGAATTGACATCTGTAGCGAATGCTCGTGACTTTTCTTCTTTAAGTTTCTTTTTTAACTTTTTACACTCTGAACTATCCAAGCAGGTTTCATCAATTTCGCTTAGTGTTACATAGAATTTAATTTCACCTGAAGTAGGAATTTTATGCACTTCATTTTCTAGTCTTGAAACAAATTCGTATTCTCTATTATAGAACAGGAAAGTAGAAAATAAATACGGAATATAAATGCAGGGTCAATTTTTAAATGGTACAGTGTATTATATTATTAAACCATTGGGTTCCGAGTAGGAAACAGGGTTTCAACAACATATCTCCACTATCTTCTATTTTCTGCTCTGCTATTCAGCTAGGTGCACGGTTGCTCAAAATCTTTCGTCTTCTCCAACTCGCACGATATCCCCCATTTCATCCCAGGATGACCCACTCGTCCCTTCCCATTGGGATTCTACTCGAGCGATGGCCTGAATTGACCATGATATCATTCGACGGCCTCTTCAGCATATGCACAATCCACCTCCTTTTTCCCCTACATATTTGTTGAGCAATCGACTCTTGGTTGGTTTGTTGCCAGACAGAGTTTCTTGTTGCTAATTCTTTCTGGACAGCCGGCTGGCCATTTGATTTTCAGTATGAAGCCAGCCAGCGAAGTGGGCAGCTGTTGATAAGAGCCTGCAGTGGTCTGTTGGAAATGCTCTTCGTGACACACTGGTCAAGTTTATGACCCGAATAGAAGAACTGACTGAGTGACTTAACATTGGTGTTGAACAGAATCAGAATCTTGCTGTGTATGCTGGCTGAGTGCAGTGCAGAAGATTTTAAAACTGGTTATAGGTTAATGAAGGGTTTCTTGCCTTTCCGATTCTGGCTGGGCTGCTTTGACATCTTCATCCTTTCAGCCTGTGGTTGAAACTGTGCTTCCTAGTGAAATAAGTGATGATAGTAACCTCTATCAGGTCTCTCCTGTTGATAGTGACTGGTGCTGTTTGTTGTTGTTGGTTGGTTGGTTGATTATTTCCATCCCCCTTCGCCTTCTCTTTGTTCACCTGGAATCCTGTCTCAGCTGCCTGCTTCTTCGGCCATTTTGTTGCTTTTCACCTGTAATTTATCAACTTGTGTGACATAAAACATAAATCATCCACGCGCGTAGTCCGGGTTTTTTAGAATCTTCTTGTTAGTAGTCCAGCGTGTTGTTGTCTCCTCGCTCCCCACACACTGAGTGACGTATAATCCAGTCCACCACAGTGTATACACTCTAATAATTCTGTATAATGTTACTTTGATATTTAGGTAGAATAGTGTATTTCTCAGTGTGATTTGATAAGAGCGTCACAGAACTCATCTCCAACAGGCTGCTTGAGACTTTTATCAACAGCTACTTTCATTATAAGCTGAAGATTAGATGCTCAGAAAGGAAAAGCAACGTGGAACTCTGAGAACTAAACACTCAAGAACTTGTTGCTTAACAAATATACCGAAAGAAACAAAGATGAATGGGATACACGCCAGCAAGACCATTGACTTCCTCCACTGAAACTGGAACCCGGACGTCTCCAAGGGTGATATCCAGGAGGTCATGTGAGCAGGAGATGTTAACATAGCGGCAATCATGGAGTCAGCTAAGAGGAACTACAGAGAGCCGGAGAAAATGGAGATGTACTGCTGAAGCTTAGTGTTCCACTCGGAACCATTACTATTATTATTGTTTCCTCTAATTCCTAGAGGAACATAGGGCTTCAGACGCAAGTCTCCATTGCGTTCAGTTCTCTGCTAGAGTCTCCACCTGGCTCCAAGTCTGCCCACATGCTTTCATCTCCTCTTCACATCACCTTCTCAAAGTCACCCTACAGTCATACTGACGACCAACTCGCCGCCTCCCTTTCAGGTTCCACTCCAGTGATGGCTTGTCTAGTGATGTCACTTGATGGTTTCCTTAGAGTATGGCCAGCCAATCCACCTCCATTTCTTCCTGCCTATTTGTTTCACAATCGGTTCCTGCTGAGTTGGTTCGCTTATTGCCAGAGATCTCTCACTATTGTTGATCTTTTCTGGCCGGCCATCTGATCTTGAGTATTGAGCGAAGACAACTGTTAATGAAGAAGTGTAGTTTGTTTGAGATGCTCTTTATGACGCGCAGTGCAAGTCTCTGATCCGTTTAGTAGCACTGACTGACTTCATATTGGAGTTGAAAATCCGGATCTTATTTTTGATGCTGAGTGCTGCTGACCTCCACACAGACTTGAGAGTAATGAAAGCTTGTCTTGCTTTTCCGATTCTTGCTTTGATATCCTCGTCACCTCCGCCTGCCTGTAGTTGAGACGATGCTTCTCAGGAAGGTAAAAGAGGTTGTTTCTTTCAGGTTCTTTCCATTTATGCTGATTGTTGACTGTTGTTGTTTTTGTTGCTGTTGGTGGTGTCGCCCAGGAATCTTCAACACCTCTGTTTTCTCTATGTTCACCTGAAGGAAATCCTATCTTTGATGCTTCTTCTGCCAACTTGTTGCTTTTCGCTTGCATATCTTTCAGTTTGTTGGAAATCAGATATATGTATCGTCGGCGAAGTCCAGTTCCTCCAAGTTTTTTGTGTGAGTCTATTTTATGCCTGTTTCCTCATTGCCCACTGTTTGTCGCATTACCCAATCTACTGCAATCAGGAAAATCATTGGCGATAGTAGGCAGCCAGCTTGTCTTACTCCTGTCCTCACTTCGAAGGATTCCGTAAGTTTCTCGGAACCATAGGGAATTATAATAAAGTGTGTTTCTAAAGACTGCAGATACTTTCGGTCGACGAATAGCAACGAGGATGAGACGTTAACCGATGAATTTTTATCTACTAACTCATCAAAATATCTCAAATCAAATCAAAGGGAACCACAAAGTGCAGCAGTGCAAACATTCATGACAATCATCTGTGAGTAATTCATCAACAGCAGGTAGCCGCACTTCTTCTTATCCAACGCTATATTCACAGATTAATTTGCATTAGAGATAGTGTGACTCATGCCCAGTATCCATCGATTCACACACACACACACTGAGGCTTCACCTATTCAGCAACACGAACCACTTCTTGATATTTGTTGAGGCTGTTTTAAGTCTTCCGCTTGATTGATTTTTATTGGAAGCACCGCAGGTCCTGAATTCTACTGCTACGCGCCATTAAACAAGAATCATCATATTCACTTTGCAAATCATGCTGTGGCGAAATTGCCATTCTACGCATCATCATCACAGAACAAAGCATGGAATGGCAATCAAATCTCTACCTCAACTTTATAGACTTTGAGAAGGCCTTCGAAGCCTTACAAGCGAAAACCGACAAACTGGTCGAAGAAGCAGCAAAGAAAGGACTGCAGGTGAACATAGACAAGATGGAGGTTATGAAAATAACCAACCAACCAACCAACAACAACAACAGCAGCAACATCCACCGCCAATCACCATCAACGAGGGGGATTTGAAAGAGGTTACTTCATTCACTTACTTATCTAGGGAGCATTGTCTCAACTACAGGAGGAACGGACGAGGATGTCAAATCGAGAATCGGGAAGGCGAGAAACACATTCATCAACCTGATACCAACCAATCTGGAAATCTTCCTCACTCAACTCAGCCTGCGTCAACAACAAAGTGATTCGGATTTTCATTACAAACGACGTCAGGTCGGTCAGTTCTTCTATACGGATGGATCAGAAACTTGGCCAGTGTGTCACAAAGAATATTTCCAACAGCCTGTTGCAGACCTTTATCAATCATCAACTGTCTTCGCTGCCTCTATACTGAAGATCAGATGGCCGGAAAGAATCACCAAGAAGAAATTGTGGGAACAAACAAAACAGGAATCCATCGCCCAACAAATATGCATGAGGAAGTGGAGATGGATTGGACACTCGCTGAGGAGGCCGCTGGGTGACATCGCGCGTCAGGCCATAGCTCGAGTGGAACCCGTCGAAAGGGAAGCGGCGAGTGGGACGTCCAAGGGTGACATGGAGCATATCGTGTGAAGAGGAACTGAAACAGTATGGATTAACATGGATGCAAGTGAAAATTACAGCAGAAGACAGAAGCAAGTGGAGACGCGCAGCTGAAGCCTTATGTTCCCAAGGAAACAATAAATAAATAAATATCATGTTCATTTGATGAAGCCATTGTCGAAGTATCAGAACTAAAAGCCGCCAAAATGTCTACAGACATCAAGAATTTCAATCTGTTGAAAATCAGTCAAGGGGGAGATTCAAACTAACAGTTTGAAAAAGTAGCAAATTTGAGAATGTTGAATCAATACTGAAGGTTAATTCTCTCTCTCCAGGTTATTGTTAATGAGCTTTTACCGACTTTGATGGTATGCTTTATTAGGTAAACAATTGAGTAACCGGTATGGTAAACAAAACAAAAAAATAAAGTGAAATTTAATACAAACAGGTAAATATTTACAGATTACAAAAATTAGTGATTAATTAATGTGTTGGTAAAAATGATTCTTAAGAAGTATTTGTTTAAGGCAATAATAATCTACTCCTCTATACTGCCCTCTGCATTTGATCTAATTTCTTGAAATATTTTATGCATTTTCATGCTAATTAATTAAAACATGGAGGGATGAAATTGAAATCCATGAGAACTCAATCTCAGATATGATAGAGAAGATTTGTAGCTCAGGTGGATGATTTTGATGTGGTTTTGTTCTCTGAGCTGGATAGGTAATTTGAGAAGCTTTCTTCGCCCTACTAGGCAACATCATCAGGGCATACTTCAATTTATTGAATTGAAGTGAGCTTTTAGATTTCTCCACGAGTCTATTAGTCATCTCTCCTGGTGACTTTGACGTGATTGATTGTTTTTGTGTGTTTTCACACCTTCTAGGTTGTTTCATCAAAAGACATATACCCCTAAGCCAACCTATTAAATCAGAAGCCCTCAAGGAAAGCACATAGAAAATCGCCTTACTATATATAAAGCATATCTCAAAAATCACTACAAGACATCTCAAACCTTTAGGAATTGACGTCGTACACAAACCAACAAAGTCACTTCACTCAGCTGGCTGCCTCTATGTCAACCAAAAGACTCAACAGCGAAAGAAGATAAAACCAACATCATCTACAAGTAAATTGTAACAACTGTGAACAACACTACATTGGCCAAAGTGGACGTCCCCTTCGTCTTCGTATCCACGAACATAAGCTA